CACCTGGACAGCAGTGGTGAGTAAAGCAACTCTGCAGGCGTGGCACTTGCCTTTGCTAACAGCCACCAAACAAATGCAGATCTGCTGCCCAAATGGCCTTTTGGAGTTTGTATCTTTTAATTTTTTTAAATAGTTTCAACTTAGCATGTGCCTCTCCCAGACAACACGCAGTTGGAATTTTGCTTTTTACTCCATTTTGCCTCTTCAGAAGAAAGTCATATTTCTTTACATTTTCACTGTAGCACAAATAAGTTTTCCGTTCTGAAGTGGGTTATCTTTTCAAGCTCACATTTTGTGAATCACCACTGGGTCTCAATAATAAAAAGTTCTTTTTATGTCAGTAGCACAATTGCTCATTTACACTGAGGGGAGAACCTTAATTCTTAAGATAAACTTGCACAACTTTCTTTCTATATTCACTCAAAACCCAATAGGGAGCCTTGGATTTCGAGTCATGTGTCTTGTTTGGCAATCAGTAGACTCTGTATTTCAGAGCCCATGTGCACTCTGTACCTAGCTGTGACGCCAGCAATGAAGACCATGTCGCAATCACTTTGTTTTATGAATACTTCTCTTACCTCCAGCCTCTGTTACTGCACTTTTTTTTTGTTCTGGGCTATTATCGGGTGGTACGCTGGGCTTACTCCTGGCTCTGCACTCAAGGATCACTTCTGGTAGGCTCAGGAGACCATATGGGATGCCAGGGATCAAATCCTGGATGGCCATGAGACCATATGGGATGACATGTGCAAGGCAAGTGCCCTACCTACTGTACCATAGTTCTGGCAACTCTGTTCCTGCTCTTTATGCCTTAATTCCTTTAAACTCCTAAAATCCAGTAAGAAAAAAAAAACACATTGTCTGAGTTGGTGCCAAAAATAATTTAGCAGAGGGCCAAGGAGTTCCCGCAGCAGTACAGGTGTGAAACCCTAAGTACAGCCCTAGAGCTGTGTCCCCAGTCCCCAATAAGAAATTAGAAGCAGCATCTGATGAGATCTGAAGTAAAGTCCAGTTTAAAGAAAAGACTTTTAAACTAAAGTAAAGACTCAGTCTTCTCGGCGGATCCCACTTAAATGCCTGTAGTTGGCTGAAAAGTACCCATGTAGTAACTACAAGCTTTAAGAAATGCAGAAGGGGGCTGGAGCGATAGCACAGCGGCTAGGGCGTTTGCCTTGCACACAGCCAACCCTGGTTCGATTCCCAGCATCCCATATGGTCCCCTGAGCACCGCCAAGAGCAATTCCTGAGTGCATGAGACAGGAGTAACCCCTGAGCATCGCCGGGTGTGACCCAAAAAGAAAAAAAAAAAAGAAATGCAGAACACGCACACTGAATTACCGTTCCAAAACTTGAAATATTCTGAATCCAAAGTAGACGAATGTGTCTCGGATACAGACATCTGCACTGGAGCACAGTCCACTTAGGCATGAGAGTGGGGGGCACAATGTCGATGCTCCAGAGACAAGGCACAGCAAGATGGGTACTGGAGACTGAGTACCCAGCACACAGAACTCAGTCTCCAGTACCTGTCTACAATACAAGCACTGTGAAGAAGGGGCTGACTCCAGGGCTGGGGCAGGGGTACAAGATAAGCCTGGTGGTACCAGAACGTCGGGAGGTACCTCCCCTAGCCCCACAAAACACAGTATCGAGCATGTTGAAAGGGTACAAGGATCCAGCCAAAAGAGGTCCTCAGCCAAAGACAGAACAATCTCAACAACAAAAGAAATACAGGTAACATTTATTTACAACTCAGAGGATAAAACAAGTACTGCTGAGTTCATCCTAATATCAGTGACCGAATAAATAAATGGGAGAACGTCAGCTCTTCCTGAAGCAGCCTAGGAGGTAAGGCGCTTGCCCAATCCTGGGTCGAATCCCCTGCACTACACATGGTCCTGGGAATACCACCAGGGGTCGCTCCTGAGCACAGTCGGGAATGACCCCAGGGCACTTCTGGGTGTGGCCCAAGTCCTCTCCCCACAGCCCCAGCCCAAATTCTAATAACTGAACAAGAATGAGGAAAACTGAAAATCACCATCAGACCTCTTTAGTAATACCACTACCCTTAAGAGCCAACCAAGTTTAAGAAGCAATGCAGTATGTTGTTACCCAAAGAGGGGCTGAGCAGAGCCGGGGGAGCCCTACCCCATTTCAAGGGAGGGTTTTCAAGGACCCTGAGATGTCCTGTTTACCGGGGGGTCCCTGAGCCACGATGGAGTCTAAATATGTGACTTCTATCACAGTTTATAATACCAGGGGGAAGATAGCTTGATACTCTGTGAGAGGGTCCTTTCATTACAATGACCGATACCATGAGTACAGAGTCTTAATCACTGACTTGAAGAGCAATCTTGAAGACCCCTGAGTATGTAACTGTGTCAAAGTGAAAATGATTTTGGCAACGTCCTCCCACCCCCACAAGGGTTATGTACCTTCTCCAAGTATCTTCCTCAAAATTAATTTTTTAACTCTAAGGGAAAATGAGTTACTATTACTAACTTCGGTTCAACATGGCCAGCAACCCCGTGACCTCATGATCAAGATTTCCATCGCCTGCAATACACTGATTGCTAATGGCCCCCAATAGAGAAGGGCACCTCACTTCTGGTCCTAAAAACCCTGACCAATCACAAGCAAGCACCAGACCAAACCTAAGGCCAGTCCAGAGTAAGGGAAGGACAGCATTCCTGAGCAGCAGTAACAGGCTGGACAAGTGCCATGTGGGACCCTGGACCCAGCAAGGGACACAAGTCAGATCCAGACATTAGGTCCGCAGCGCAGCCCCTGGGCAGTAATCACATTTCAAAGCTGATCAGCATGCTCAGGTCAGGGATGGGGGGTGGAGGGACTGGGTGAAAAGTGCCTGGAAGGACACATGGACACAATGGCCAGAGCAATGTTGACTAGGGACAAACTTTCCCGCACATCTCAATCCTAACAAAATACAGTGTCTGGCGAGCACTGCTGGTCCCAAGGGATTGGAAAATGTTCCATGGGGCCATATTAACAGTTTCCTTTCTCTGGCCACTACTCATTTTTTTCCCTCCAAGCCCATGCAGGACAAGTGCTCGCCCACTGAGCCATCCCACCTCCAAGACCCCAGTTCTAGGGGATTTTCACGAAGAATATGGGAGTGGTATATAAAGGCCTTCGGGGTTACAAGGCTAATTTTCTAAAACTTACTCAGTAGGTTCCAGGTCTCTAATTCCTTTCAATCCCTGAAACATCTATTAAATAATCAAATCTATGAGTGCATGAAAACACGTTGACCACAATTAGAAGCTGCTAAGAAACCAGTTCATTACTTTGAAAACTAATCAAGAGAAACATTCTGACACTTATCCTGACCTTCCTGCTCTGCACCTCATGTTCCCACAAATCAAACTTTAATCAGATCAAGCCTCTAGAGTGAGCACTAGTTTAGAGGAAACAGAGTCAGACACCTGTTAAACTGCAGCACAGAAGTGCAATCTGGACAGAATAACCTAGATTCTTCAAAAATATGTAGGAGAAAGGAGTGAGCAACTTAGAGATGTAGAAGAGACAAAAAATAATGCATCAAAATACAGTAACATCTGACCCTTACACAGACGCTAATAAAAGTCATCAAAGAACTCAATGCATCTGAAACAATTGGAAATTTGAACAGGGACCAACAGTAAGGAAATGTTGCTAATTTTTAAGAAGTATTAGCAAACTGCAGTTGTTTTAAATACAAAATACAGATTTTTAAAAAAACTGACCCACCTCTAGTGCTGCTACTAGAAAGCAATGGTGGGTCTACAGCACATATGTGTACCTGAATGTCTGCAGTAGTCATTTTCCTTGACGCTTTACCTATCAAATCAAAGCATTGGATTTCTTTCATTTGCCTGCTGTGTGTTGCAGTTAGCATTGTACAAATTCCGACCACCAAATATACCCACTCTATCATCCTTGCCAGTTCCTGTTGGGCCCTGGTGAATGGGGGGAGTTAACCCTTTCTCAGTTACAATGAGCACTGACATGTACCACATCCACGACAGGGCACACTGGTTTTTAAGAAAACCAATCATAGAAAATAAGCCTGTTTTATTGTTATTATTATTATTATTATTTTTTTATAAAGAGAAAAGCTAAGGCATTACTGAGATGAGAGAGATATAAAGTTATATTGCTGGTCTCATGTACCAAGTTATCAGCAGCACGTTCATTATATTGAAAATAAACTTCAGGCAGATATAAAGGACAAAGATAACACATTAAAAGAATTCACTGTTGGCTTTCAAAAAGGATTCATTGCACGTGCCTTGGAACAGAGACCCCCCCCCCCCCCCATTCCATTTCAGGATGAACAGATGACCAAGTGCATGAGGTCTCACGCCAGGTCTTGTTTGTCCCAGTATGATTTTTCATTGCTGATACTTTCAATAAAATTTCAGGGGCTAGAGAGATTATACAGTGGGTAGGGCACTTGCCTTGCACGCAGCTGGTCTGGGTTCAATCCCTGGCACCCCATATGGTCTCCGGGGCCCTGTCAGGAAGTGATCCCTGAATACAGCATCAGGAGTAAGCCCTGGGCACAGCCGGGTGTGGCCCAAATACAAATAATAATAAAACAAAATCAAATTTCGGCAGAACTGTGAACTGGTAATCTGTCATGCCACATGCCAACCCTGTTAAAGGTCAGCTCTGGAGACAGCCCACCGAGGGATTCCTGTCCCAAAATCAAGTGCTCACCTCTATTTGGACCCACCCTCCTCACCCTTATGGGCCCACCTGGTAACACAATGGCTTTTGCAACCATTCACATTTACTCAGGAAACTGTGTCCACACTGATGCTGAGAGTTTTGCTAATCTGCTTTTAAACCCACATGAAATGAAGAAGAAAAAAAGCATGGTGTGCATGGAAAGTAAGAGAAAGCACAGGAACAGCCTCTGGTCCGGCTTCTCCTCCGTGAGCCCCCAGGAGCCCGCGAGCCCTCACTCCCCGGCACGGTAGCACACACAGCCTCACCTGTGTTGCTCCCAGGTCCTCTCTGCTTTTTTTTCTTGGCTAGTTGAATGGCTCGGGAATCAGTTCTTGCTGAGCCCCCACTGTCCTGAGACCAAAGAAAAGTGTGTCAGTCACTCGATCCAAACAGCAAGGGGAGGCTAGCAAAGGAACTACTGACTCGGATTAAGTCTGCTCCCGAACAGAGCAGGGTCCAGTCTCTCTGAGAGCTGCAGCAGAGGCTCACACAGAATCAAATGCTACATCCAGAGACGGTGCAAACTAAACAAAATTAAGAGGTGGAACAATATAGAGAACTTTATTAGCCGGAGAAGCAAGTTTTATTCCTCCAAAGTCTAAAACATATCAGGGTATTTTACACAGAAACTTGACAATGAACAACAGACATACTTCTCTGTGGTCTGAAACCAGGGGTGACCGGGACTGACTGCGTGCAGTGCCGCCCCCAGGATAGCTCTGGCCACACCACAACGGAGAGACCCGAGGGGCCCGCCTGTCTCCTGCTGCAGGGGCCTCGCTGGCAGCAGGCATGACTGAGACTGAGTTACTGTGCCTGCAACCAGCCACGTTACTGAGGGGGCTGATGGGCCTCCAGGAAGATTTACCCCCCTGTCAATCTGTGAAAGAGTTACAACACTGCTGACTACTTATCCCTAAAAAAAAAACAGCCCTCTCCAGTTTCTGGCATACCTGTAACCCACTCACCACACACCACCTGTGCTCAGAGAACTGAGACTGCCCAGAGTCACACAGCTAGCGAGGACAATGGGGGAAGGGGTGAGGATCAAGGCCATGCCGGCTCCACCTGCCTCCACCCCCAAAACTGGCTCTGGAGATGTAGGGGCCCTGCAACACCAGGGCCCTGCCACAGACTCCGCCTGTCCTCCCACTTGGCCGAGATGGGGCCATCTCTCTGCCTGGTTCCATCATCTGCCGGCTTAGGAACTGCTACGGTGGCCAAAACAAGGGGCGAAAGAAGGAAAGCTCAGTCACCAATAAGCGACAAGCAAGCACAGAGGCGGGCAACAGTCACTGGTGCCTCCTACAGACGGAAAGAAATCCAAGCTGGCTCGTGGCAGTGGGTTATCTAACATTCCGACAACCCGCCCTAATTCCGAAATTCCACTTTTTTTAAAAAAAATTGTAGTAAAATAGTATTTCGCATTGTAAACAAATTTACCATCAAATTCAATGTGTGCCACAAAGATAAAAACCTTTTTGATCATTCCCATCCGAAACTGACAAAGTCAAGACTCCCCCCAAATCTTTAAATTATTTTAAATTAAATTATATTAACTGCATTCCTGGCATAAATAGAATTAAAGTATATTAACTTTGAGCCTTCAAACTGGAGAAGTGCTTTTATAACCCTCCAGAAACCAAGGCTCACAAACTACTCCTCTTTTCTCATTCATTCTAGTTTAAAAAAAAATTTTTTTTTGCACAGTTTTAAAGTTCCCATTCAACCTTCAGAGATGGTTGATGTCACAACTCTTCCCCTTTTCATTAATAAATCCAAAGACCTGTCGTTACGTGAAACGCACAAAGGCAGAACATTTCAACATTATGAAACAACCCAATGTTCAAAAAGAAAAAGAAACACATTATCACAGAACTCAAAAGGACCTTCGAGATCATCTAACCAAACCCCCTCATTTTAGAAATAAATGAGAATTTAAGGCTTAGATAGGTTAAGTGATTTTGCTCAAGGTCAGAAAAACGAGTCCGTTCCAGACTCTGGATCGGAATTCAGATCTCCAGACTTGTAGTCCAGGGCTCCTTGCTTTAGCAAACCAGTTAAGAAATGTCTGCACACAAAGGAGTGATCCAGAGCTTCCTCCCAGTGGAGTGGTAGAGGAGTGGGCTAGTGGTGGCGACCGAGAGAGCACGTCATACCAAATAGAAGCAGCCGTCCCCTGCACTGAGCCCCGGCTCTCTCTGATGACTGGGCTTCTCTGCAGGGCTGGAGAACACAGTCCGGGCCAGGCCTCTGCTGTGCTCCTGCTGCCGGACCGCACCCGGGCCAGCAGCGGAGTCCGGGTCCACTTTGATGGGAGCCAGCAGCTCCGGGATGTTGGGGTTTCCCTGGGCGGCACTGACCGGGGCCGGGGTGCTGGTGTTCTCGGCTGCGTGGCTGCTGGACGGCAGGACCTGTGGGTCCTGACTCAAGTTCTTCACTGGCAGAGCGACCAGACAGCCTAAGGCCCCTGCGCTCATTGCCTGCACGTCGTCCAAACCAAAGCTGCTCTGCTGAAGAACGGTGGCTGCGGGCCCGAGCACCAGAGGGCTGTCCAGGCTGGGAGGAATGTCACTGTGGGCGACCAAGACCAGAGGTTCCATGGGCCCTAAGGAACTACCGTGAGCGGGGAGGGCCCCCCCAAGCGAGGAGCTCACAGAAGTCACGTCAATCGTCAGCATTCCGGAGTGGAGCGCCTCGTCCGGGGTCCCCGTGCTGGTGCTGCTCTCGCCGGGCGCCTCAGAGAAGAGCGCCGCCAGGTCGAGATTGTTGAGCTCGTTCTGGCCCGGGCTGCCCAGTTCACTGCTGGACGTAAGAGAACTTGGAGCTCCGAGCTGAGGGAATAGATCTGGAAAGGAATGAACACGCAGTCATTTTAGGGCAGGACGGTTCCTTTCCGCACGCTAACAGGTGACCCCTCGGGGCCCCATCTGCTGAAGGAGGCCCTGCACTGAAGGGAGGCGCCACCGGAACATGCATGGCCTCTGATGTGTCCCCTCAAATCCACAGGCTGACAGGCCTGCCTTCTGGCAGGTACCATGACTCCAGAGCCTGAACAACTTTTCCTCAAATTACATCAACTGGTAAACAGAAAAAAGGCAAGCCTTGAAGCCATGTCTTTGTGGCTTCGACCCATCTTCTTCCTGCTACGCCACAGATGCCAGCCCTGAGAAGACTATACAACACCAGGAACACAAATCTCATTCAGACACAGAAGACAAACTTTAGTCAGTCACACAGAACACAAACTTCAGTGGGTTACTCAGAAAACAAACCTCAGTCAGTCACACAAAACACAAACCTTAGTCACACAGAACATAAATCTGTCAGACACAGAACACAAACCTCCATGGGTCACTCAGAACACAAACCTCAGTCAGTCACTCAGAACATAAACCTCATTCGATCACACAAAACACAAACTTCAGTCAGACACAGAACACAAACCTCAATCAGTCACACAGAACACAAACTTCAGTCACACAGAAGAAGAATCTCAGTCAGACATAGAACACAAACCTCAGTGGGTCACTCAGAACACAAACCTTACTCAATCACACAAACCACAAACTTCAGTCACTTGAACACAAACCTCAGTTGGCTTCTAAGAACACAAAGCGCACTTGGTCATTCAGAACACAAACTTCAGTCATACACAAGCTCCACTCTGGCTCAAGGCTAGTGGTGGTGCCAACTTCTGCCAGTTTGGACCATGTCATACTCTATGCTGCACCCCACAACTGATGGCCACTCCCGCAGAGATCTGAGTCGCTGGAGGTAATCAGCAAGGAAAACCCTGGTACCAGGCCCAAGCACAGGGATCACAGACCAAGCTTCTGGGGGGTGCTGGAAACTGGGACGCGAAGTGCCTAGGCACTGAAGTGAACCCCTGGATGGGGCTTCTCCTGAGGGCCCCCCCTTCCCTCTGCTATGCTTGTTCCAAACTCTGACACGCCTTCTCCCCACTCCTATGATCATCTTGAGAATCCGAGTCATCTTTGTTCCTTTAGCACAAGGTGCGGGGCCTGGGTCATAAGTTCTAGGACTTGCTGATGATAAAAAATGCCAACAGAGCCTTCATTCTGTTGTAACTGCGGCACACCACACTCTTTAGTACTTGATTATTTGTGACCTGGGTAATTTAAATAATCTGAGTCCCAATGAAGAAATAGTGAATATTGTCATTTATAAAAGTGACATTTATAACATGACATTTATAGCGATAGCACAGCGGTAGGGCGTTTGCCTTGCAGGCAGCCGACATGGCCGACCCGAGTTCGATTCCTCCGCCCCTCTCGGAGAGCCCGGCAAGCTACCAAGAGTATCTCGCCCGCATAAGCTCCCCGTGACGTATTCGATATGCCAGACACAGTAACAACAAAGTCTCCAATGGAGATGTTACTGGGCCCGCTCGAGCAAATCGATGAACAACGGGAGGGCCTTTACCTTTACCTTTATAAAAATGACAATATTCAATAGCAAGCTTAATGACTATATTCAATACCAAGTTTACATATAAGAACATGCCTATCATCTCAAATTCTAGTATTCTTCAAGCACCAAGCAAACAGAAAATGGGAACACACACACACACACACAACGAGAATAAAACAGGCTTTAACATCCTTTCTGAAGCAATAGCTACCTGAACCTTCTAGAACATTCAGTGCATGGTCAGAGGGAAGTTTCTCTCAGTTCCTTCCCTGACAACTGTTAATTACTGCCAAGCTCATGCTTTCTAGCTGAGGAAACCCAGAGCACCTCTTGTGCTTCTAATGCAAACAGGTGTAAGAAATTTGTTCTACATTCCAAGATCTGGGCCTCGATGATATTATTCTATTGGCAAAGGTAACAAAAACAAAAATAAACATGGGAGTACATCAAACTTAAGAGTTTCTACATGGTACCAGAAACACAGGCTAAAACTAAAGGACAACCACTGAACTGGAGGAAATATTTGCACTCAACATAAGGTAAAGAGTTTCCTTAACCCAAATATATAAAGCACTCACAGATTCACAGCAAATCCAAAACCCTATCAAAAAAATATGGAAGGAAAATGAAAAGATACTTCTCTGAAAACACACAGATGGCCAACAGGCACAAGAAAAAATGCTCATCATCACTTACTACCAAGAAAATCCAAATCAAGATGGCAATGAGAGAAGATAGCATCTCAGCAGTGAAAAAGGCACATACACACCCCCCCCAAAAAATACACAAACAAACAAAAAACCTGGAAATAATCTGAGTTGGTGGGGATATGATGTGAGAAGAATTCATCCACTACTGTCTAGTTCAACCCTATGAAAAACAGTGTGAGGGCCAGAACCATAGTCCAGCAGCTAGGGCAACTGACTTGGACATAGCCATCCATGTTCTATGTAGATCGTCCCATACAGGTCCTCTGAGTCCACCAGGAGTGATCCCTGAGCACAGAGCCAGAAGTAAGCCTCATATAAAAACATTCACAGGAAAGAACAGAATTTTGCCATATGACCTGGAAAAGAACATTGCCATATGACCAGGCAATCCAATTTCTTGATAATACCCCCAAGACAAAAAACATCCAATTAAAAGAACCTGTACACACCACTATTCACTGCAGCACTTAGCACAATAGCTTGGATATGAAAAAAAACAGGTGTCCAGTAACAGAGGAGTGGATAATGAAGGTGTGCTATACACACAATGGAATACTCTGTAGCTGCAAGGAATGATGAAATCGTGCGATCCACTGCAATGTGGATGGAACTTGAGGATGTAAGATTAAGAGGAGTCAGGAGGAGGAGGACAAATACTGGCTGATCTCACTTAACTGTGGTAAATAGAATTTCAGGACAAAAGAATGCAAGGCATCAAATGAGAGAGACCTAAGTTACCCTGAACCCTAAGTTACAAAAATGAGAAGAGAGAGGAGGAAGGAAATTGGGGGAGGGAGGAGAGAAGGGGCGGAAGGGACATGTAAGGGGCAGAAGTCAGGGGCCTCGGGCATATCCGGTGGTGCAAGAAGTGAGGTAGGCATGTGTCTATATACACGGTAGCCAGAAGACGCAAACTCAAAAACGTGCCTGAAAAGAAGGCAGGCTTGGGGTGCTAGGGAGGCTGGGTTATTGGGGGAGGACATAAGCCCTTCGAAGCAAAGTGTCAGGGAGGACACGGCCTCTCAATGGCAGTGACTGACCACACAGGACAACCCGTCAGAACTGCTCAGAGTCCCCACCCAAGCTGACTGATGAGGCTGAGGCAGGTGGCAGTGGGCAGGACCCGGTCAGTAGTGCCACAGGCCACTCTACACTTGCCTGGGTCTTAGCAGGCATGCCCGACCAGAAGCAACAGCCCTCCTGCCCTGGGGAGCACAACAGGGTGAGGGCCCGAAAGAGAGGTCACCACTGGCTACCTCGACCCAGCCTCAATCTGCCCAAGATGGGCCCATGTGAGCTTAAGGTAGAATTCTGAGCTTCAGACCATGATGCAACCAGGTGACTGGGCCCTCCGGTACCCAGCACCCCCATTCTTTGGGGGCTATCCCTGGCTATGTCCAAGTCCCTCTCCAGGCCTCAGGTGCCACCCTGTCCTGGAGTCAGACTTGTTTGGGCATAAGGGCTCTCCTCACCAGTGGGAGGAAGGATGGGAGACAGAAGAAAGTGCTCAGAGAAGAGGCCTCCAGGATGAGAAGGGGGAGGAACATACTCCGAACTCAGGACAGAGATCACAAGCAGGATAGAGACTTAGGAGACATCCAGATTAGAAACATCCAGAAGACCAGAGGAAACCACTTCAAACTCCAGGGCAGGCTGGAGTCAGGTGAGTAAGAAGCATGAGAGAGCTGAAGAAAGGTCCTAGGTCCCAAGGCCTTGGCAGGCTTGGTCTATGAGCTCGCGAGAAGTGACTGATGAGATGTGCTTCACCTACAAACTAGACACCTCGAGCTAGGCGCTGAGGAGGCCGCCTGCCTGCCCACACCCCTGCAAGGCCCCAGGGGGCTGGGAGGTGAGCAGACCTGGGCGCTGGCTGTGCTGTCGGACCACGTGCGCCTTCATGCTGTGCTTGGAGGTGAAGAGTCTGTTACAGCTGGAGACAGGGCAGCGGCTCTTCGGGGCGCCCACGTCCTGCACGTGCTTCTTGGAGTGAATGTACAGACTGCTGCGGGCGGAGAACCTGGCACAGCACCCTGGAACAGAGGACAAGGGTCAATCCTGAGCAATGCGGCCATCTTCTTATCCCCTCCCCACTCTCTAGCAAAGCACCCCCAGGAGGCGTACCCTGAGTCTAACTTGGAGCCATGTGGCAAAGAACGAAAGTCAGAAGCAAACTCTTCAAAGGAGACCTTCTCAGCTGCCCTTAAGACTTGAGAGTATGAACGAACTACCAAGACCATTTCCTCCGCCCCAGCACAGGGCTGCTGGGAAGATACTAGCCAACTAATTCAGTGCTGAAACAACTCAGGAATCTAACCACTAAAAATTATACTAATTATCTTTGAAGCTATTCTTTAGAATAGCCTATATATATTTTGTTGTTGTTGTTTTTTAATTTTTATTAGGGAAACACCGTGAGATACAGTTGGAGACTTACAAATTTTGGTGCTTGGATTTCAATTATACAATGATCCAATACCTATCCCTCCACCAGTGCCCATTTTCCACCAGCACGGGTCCCAGTATCCCTCCCCACTCCATCCTCCCCCCCCCATCCCACCCTGCCTCTGTGGCAGGGTATTCCCTTTTGTTCTCTCTCTCCTTTTGGGTCCTGTGGTTTGCAAAAGAAACAGTGAGTGGAAATCATGTTTGGTTCATAGCCTACTTTCAGCATGCTTCTCCCATCCTGGGAAGATCCTCCCAACAGTCTTGATTTGGTGCTCCCTTCTCTATCTGAGCTGCCTTTCCCCCTAGCATGTGCGGCTGGCCTCCAAGCCATGGAGTGAACCTCCTGGTACTTATCTCAGCTATTCTTGGGTATTAGTCTCCTATTTTGTTACTTTATGTTCCGCAGATGAATGCAATCTTTCTATGTCTGTCCCTCTCTTTCTGACTCATTTCACTTAGCATGATACTTTCCATGTATTACAACTTGTATGTAAATTTCGTGACTTCATCTTTTCTATAGCACAGCAGGTAGGGCGTCTGCCTTGCACGCAGCCAACATGGCTGACCCGAGTTCGATTCCTCCGCCCCTCTCGGAGAGCCCGGCAAGCTACCGAGAGTATTCGATATGCCAGACACAGTAACAACAAAGTCTCCAATGGAGACGTTACTGGGCCCGCTCGAGCAAATCGACGATCAACGGGAGGGCCTTTACTTTACTTTACATCTTTTCTAACAGCTACATAGTACTCCACTGTGTAGATGTACCAAAGTTTCTTTAACCAGTCATCTGTTCTTGGGCACTCAGGTTTTATCCAGATTCTTAGAATAGCCTATATTTTAACCCCATACAACTTCGAGGTAAAAACTCAACACTCCTGGAGCTGGAGCAATAGCACAGCGGGTAGGGCATTTGCCTTGTACACAGCCAAACCAGGTTCGATTCTCAGCATCCCATATGGTCCCCTGAGCACTGCCAGGGGTAATTCCTGAGCGCAGAGCCAGGAGTAACCCTGTGCATCGCCGGGTGTGACCCAAAAAGAAAAAAAAATTTAAACTCAACAGCTCCCCAAAGTCTATTCCTCCAATTTCACAGCGAGGCAAGATGCCACAGAGCAAAGCAAATGACTCAAACTGCACAGGACTGGTGGGGCCTGGGGATGCCCAGCCCTGCCCACTGACCCAGCGCAGTCAGGAAGATACCCCAGGTCATCTCTGTGCAACTCCGAATCCACCTACCCCGGGGGCTCTCATCTGTACTATTGGGGCTGTGTTCCCTAAGGACACGGCCCTGAGACCTGGGAGGGGCAGGGAAAGAGCTATGAGCTGATAAAAAAAAAAAAGGTGGCCTAAGGGCAAGGAGCATCTGAACCTGAGAGAAGGCAGGGGCCACCAGCAGCCGAGCATCAGGGCCCAGGGCGCCGGGGAGCTAAGACGTGAGGGCCACAAAGAATAGCGGGGCTCAAGCTAGTGAGACTGACTCCACTTCAGCACAGCCCCGACAAGCCATGCAACCTGGCTAAGCCCTCCAGGATCTCCTGGACCTCCTCTCTGTAGTGCTACTGACCCCTGCCTTGCAGGGGCACCAGGATCCCATGAAATAGCACATCAGCATCCCTGCACAGAGTGTGTCCACATAGAAGGCACATCACAAGTGCAGGAGTCCAGGCCAGGGCGAAAGCCTGCGCCAGGCAGTCAGGTCAAGGCACACTGCCTCGGGGCTACACCAGGGAGAGGCCATCGGCTCTGATGGCCTCTCTCTCACATGAAGCTTCAGCTACACTTCCAGGCCAGGCTCAAGAGAGAACATCTGCGGCATGCCGCAGAGGGAACCCCAGCTTGCTCGCCAGAGATATGGGAGCAAGAGTGGGGCTCTCCTCCCTCCCAGGTCCCTGAGCCCCCTTTGCCAGCCACGGTCCTCGGTGCAGCTTCTGGAGGCAGAGCCAGAGCGGGAACGCTGAGTTCATCCAGTTTTCCCAGACCAGGTTCCGGCACAACTGGGCCATCCGCCACACTCTCGCCAGCAGGGAGTTTCCTTTTCTCCCCCAAAATTACTTGCTAATTCAAGAGGCAACAAAATTAATTTCATTTTAATAAAGTATGACTCAGCCAACAACCTACATGCGCCCCAAGGGGCAGAACAGCACCCGCAGAGCTGACACAGCAGCCCGCCTGTTAATGCATGCACTGTCCCGGGCCCCCACCCAGGGGCCCGACATGCTCTTTCTCTTGTTACTTTGGCAAAGGAAGGGGGGCAGGTGGTGGGGTGGGTGATGATTTAACTTTATATTATGGAACATGTTAATTACCTCCCAAAGCCAGAAAGTTAACAATCGACTCCAGAGTCCATCTCGCCAACGACCAAGTCTCAGCACATCTGATAAAGGCTCCTCCAAGCCCTCCACAGGCTCCTGTCTTCAGCTCCACTCCCCGGAGCAGAGCATGCTCGACCAGCACCCCCTCACCTCCCCACCCCCCCAGCAGGGCATCCCAGCAGTCTGGGCTGGCACAGGGTGGTGCAGCCCCAGCTCTCAGAGGGCCCTGCCTGCCTGCCTCCCAGCACCCCCCCTTACCCCTCTGCCTCCAGCCCCACCCGGAATCCTCTTCTAGCCTATAAGCAGAATTTGGCAGTCCCCACCTAAGATTTTGCTCTAGTCACTTTCCTTTTTTTGTTTTGATTTGGGGCCATGCCCCAGCTCTGCACTCAGGAATCACTCCTGATGGTGCTCTGAGGACCATATGGGATGCCCAGGATTGAATCTGGGCAAGGCAAGTGCCCTCCCAGCTGGAATAGCTCTCTGGCCCCTGCTCTAGTCTTTTTTTTTTTTTTTGGCCAGATAATAATGCAACCAACAGTGGAGGGTGACACTGAACTTGGGCACACTCAGAAGAATCCAGAGTCTCATCAGCACTTTCCAGATGATCTGCTCCCAGAGGCCCACCTCTCCCTAGCACTAAGATCAACTCTCTGACGGCTTCTGGAGGTCAGCGCCCATTTCAGGACACTAATGACGAGAGCCACGACCGCTCCGCTCACCAAGCCCCAGCAGCACGCGGCCTGCCTTCCCTCCTGAGCACCTGAGCTTGGAAAACCCACGGGTAAAATGCAGCCTGTCCAAACCAACTCCTTGTCCTTCCTCCAATCATCCCACCACGGTCCCCAGACCAAGTGAGACACTGTCCCCCAACTCAGGCCACTCCCTAGCCCCCAGCCCCCAAGCAACGCCAACTCTTATGTCATCTGTCAAACCCCAGCCCTGGTCCCTTCCCCTCTCCCCAGGAGACCAAATTGGGCTGAGACTCAAGCAGGTCCTCAGACTCCCTTGCTCCCAGCATTCATCCTGATGCAGGCACCCAGGGTGGGGGTGAGGGGGTGGTTGCTCCCACACTGGCCTTTCTACTCCATCAGCCAAGACCCTCTTTGCCTGGCTAGTCACTGTTTCCCAGCACCTGCGGGTCACTCATGTGTATTCCCTACCTGAGCTTGACAGAACAATGCCAATCATCATAGTACCTGTCCTATGGTCATCATGTTCCAGGACTGACCCCAGCTTCAATGAGTGTTTATTACTTTTGCGGGGCGAGGGGTGCAAAGCCGATGCTCTCCTACTGAGCTCCAGCCCTGCCCCCCCCCATGGATGGCGATGGACCCCTTTTCTGGGTAAGAAACTGAGGCCCTGAAAAGCTGGCTTGAGGCCACCAACAGGTCTCTTGGCTTCCTAAACCAGAGCATCCGCAGCACTGGGTGGGCCCAGCAGAGACCAGCTGCATTGTGGACTCTGGTGAGTGTCTGGGAGAAATCATCCTTTCTGAAAAGCAGCCTCACTTTCCTGCTCTCCAAGAGTCCCAGGCAGATGCCTCACAGCCAGTTCCGACATGCCAGCTGCCAACATGGCTGTCTACATGTCCATTCCCAAGTAAGCCAGGCAGGTCACTGAGAGTGGCCACGCCTGCAGGTGCACCGTGGGCAAGGCAGGGACATGGGTCTCCTCTTTCTAACACACCGAAAACAGGCTGAGTCAGTCTAACACTGCAACTCTTAGCCACAAACACTCGCCTTTAAACAACCTGAAACTGACAGCAACGGTGCGGACAGGTACTAGTTCACAGCTCAAAGCACTAGGTTCAAATCTACCTTCCACAGGACACTCAAACGGCTTCGTGCCCAGGTGGGTTATGCTGTGGCCCTTCAGGTGCTCTGCCCTGGTGAATGACTTCCCACAGCCTTCCACAGGGCAGGTGAACCTCCGGTCGTCATCGTGTTTCCTGCCGGAACGAAACACAGGGGTTACTCTTGACAGCTCAGAGGCACCAAATCTCATTTGTGGCTTAAAATTCTATAAATTACATCAGACAAACTCTGCATTTAAGAAAATGATTGGTCGGGGCCAGAGCGATAGCACAGCGGGTAGGGCGTTTATGCCTTGCGCGCGGCTGACCTGGGTTTGATCCCCAGCATCCCATATGGTTCCCCCAAGCACCGCCAGGAGTAATTCCTGAGTGCAGAGCCAGGAATAACCCCTGTGCATCGCTGGGTGTGACCCCAAAAGTTAAAAAAAAAGATTGGTACCTCTCAAACACCTGAACTGTATCACTAGTCCACATGGGCAGACCTGCATGCACCCTAAATTAGGATGTCTACAGGAGTCACCAACAATTAGTGCTGCTCCACCCAGAACAGCCAAAGCCCAAATATATTGGTGCGGCTGCTCCCATGATCTGGAAATTCTGATAAGTTAAGTTTGCACTCTACAGAGGGCAATACGAAGAAGCATGTACCCAGAATCGTCCCAGTGCAACGAGGAAGAGTGAGGACACCAGAATCATAATGACCCTTAATGAGAAGAGGGTCACAGACAGACAAGTGCACCTGGGCTCTGCCCATGGTTGTCCACAAAAAGCTTAGGGCAGAAATCCTCTTAACTGAAGGCATATTCTTCAGCAGTAAGCTCTTTTCAGTGTCACGTGCACACAAGCACAGAGATCATGCCTGTAGAAGTTGTATGCATGCCCACCAAGTCGACAGGTGATAGCACTGAACGATTCTGCTTACAGTTTCCGAAATTTTCCAGCTTGTTTCCATTGAGCTCCTTTCATCACTTCAAACATTCTAAAAAATATTTCCTCCTTCAGTATCTGCTAACAAACTTGAGAATACACACCAAACATAAAGATTCACCTTTTGTGCCGCAGGAGTTTAGACATGCTAGTGAAGGTCCAGCCACAGCTGTCAGAGTCACAGATAAAAGGTCTTTCACCTTAGAAAAGAAGACAGTGACACCACAGTTATGAACCCAACAGCTACTCAGGTCCACCAGCTGCTGCCTCTCCAAGAGCAGGGCTCGACTTTCCCACTCACGACCATGGTCTCATCAACTAGATTTATGGGCAGCAAATCATAAATGGATTGTGAAACAAACCACTTGAACCCCCAAGCCCCACTCCACCCCAGTTCTTTTTTTTTTTAATTTGTATTAGTGAAACAACATGAGGTACAGTTGTCTACTTACAAATTTTTGTGCTTGGATTTCAGTTATACAATGATCGAGTACCCATCCCTCCACCAGTGCCCATTCTCCACCATCACCAATCCCAGTATCCCTCCCATCCCCCCATCTCCACTCCAGTTCTGGAGGCGTTACCTGTGTGGCTCCTCAGGTGAATTTTCAGGCGACAGGCTTTGTCATACTGTTTGCTGCAGCCAGGGAAGGAGCACGAGAAGAGTTCTTGTTCCCTGAAGTGAGCGCGGTTGTGGGAGAACAGTGCACTCACTGTGATGAAGGTCTTCTCGCAACCTGATAAAGAAAACGCGCATCTTGCTCGTGGGCGTGACAGGCTCACCTAGTCCCCACCCCAGGACACTGTGGGCTCCAATGCAGGCAAGGGGAGCGCAACTGCGCAAGGACCTCCTGGTGGTGGCTTGGCAAGGCCAGGAGGGGAGGCTGCAGACAGTCAGCGGGCACACGGGAGCCACCAGGGGTCATGTGACAATGAGCCCAGGTGCAGACCTGCCACGTCTGCAGCCTGGTCGGATTCTGCAGCTCTGGGTGTGTCTTGCAGGAAACCAAACATCAGAGCTGCCGGTTTCACCCAAGCAGGCCAGGGGGAGAAATTACACCCAGCAGAAGTCACTACTTCACAGCAGGGCAGGTCCTTGGAAAGAGAGACTTTACATAGAACTGCTCTGACCCTCGGCACATGGATATAAAAGAGAGGGATGTTCCTAACACACAGTGCTGATCTGTCTCACATACAAATCACCAAACCTCTAAAAAAGAACCCAAACATTTTCAGGGAAGAAACAACCATTTGTTTTCCAACCTGCTGCTTCCAGTCAGTCTCAGAGGGCGCGAGTCTCACGCGGCAGCCCAGAGCAACTCTGGCCAGCCCCATTCCAACACCGCATGCATCACATCACACATGCACTCAGACCAGGACAGCTGTGGCAGGCGAACGAGCCCGGGATGGGATGAGGGAGAAAACTGACGAGCTGGAAGGAACCCACAGACACAGGGGAACAAGCGGAAGACAGAGGACACCAGTGCATAGTGTCCCGGGCCTCCAGCACTAAATGAAGCAGCTTCTGCACAGGCGACTGGGCTTTAGAGGCTGGGGAACAACACCAGACCTGAGACCTTCGCACCCACACACTCAGATATAAACTCCCAACAGCCTTCCTTCAGCTTCTTTCTCTCCTGTGCCCACCCTGGGCAGGGCTCCCTGCTCTGTCCAAGGAGATCCCATAGGGCCTTCTGGGTTATCTGGGGTCTTCAGTCTCTCCAGTCAAACCTATCTGAGCAATCCTGAGGACCCTCATCCACAGCTCTCAGAGCTCTTATCCACAAGAAACACTCTTTAACTCTGGTTAGAAAGTATCTGGGCAAGCTGATTCTCTTCTTGGACAGAAACAACTTGCCCAGATACTTTCTAACCAGAGTACTTCATACTTCATACTTCTCTTCCTATTTCTGCTCAGAACCTGCCACCTAAGCAGCAGCAGGGCAGGGAACGCGGATGAACATGCACCCAAAAAGGCACCCCCTTCCCCACCAGCCCAGCACACAGGCTATGAGCTGCACCCCAGGGCTCCCCTCCCCAGATGGGCGTGGACTCTGGGAACCACACATTCTCCAAACCTCTGGCTAGCAAGCCCCACCGGTCCACCCACAAACCAGTCCTGACCAGTCCTTGATTCTCCCAACAGCCTTCCCTACCTGAAGCAGCCCACTGGCAGGACACTGACCCTGGCCCTTGGTTCTCATCTGTTTCTGCCCAGCCCCTCGCTGACCATCTGACTCGAACCCCTTCAGAGCACATCATCCCTTGCAAGAACCACCTGGCAAGGAACTATAACTTGCTGGGCTCCGGTGCCCAGCACTGAAAAAGGTTTCCCCCCAGGAGTCTAGAGCCACGTTCCTGCCCCACCCCCACCCCCAGAAGGGACACTCCAAACTGTCCACATACGCTGCCCTAAAAGACCGACACTCCAAACTGTGCACAGTTGCAGAAGACACGAGCCAGCATCCCCAGCATAGCTCGGTTTGCCTCCACTGGGGCTGCCCCAACCCCCAAGGGCACGCAGGCACACAACTGGGCAGCACCGGAGCCCTGGACAAAGACCCCCGCCGGCTCTTACACTTCTCGGCCTTCCTTCGCTGGGGCAGAACCAGGCTCACTATCAGAACTTAACTGCTCAGAGCCTCCCACCTAAGCAGCAGCAGGGCAGGGCACACGATGCAGATGCACCCAGAAAGGCACCTGGGAAGCCCAAAGGAAGTCAAAATGCAACAAGCTCTACTCAGGTGGCCGGGGGGAAGATGCGACCACAGAGGGTCTCGAGGTGCAGGAGGCAAAGAAAGGCGCCCCTCAGGGACCCTGGAAGCACCTATGGCAGATCGGGCGCCTCCAGGGTGGGGAGGCTGGACTGGGGCTGGGGAGGTGGGGTGGGAGGGACTCTCCCTGCTGACACCTCTGGGGTGTCAAGTGGAGTCAGGGCAGCACAGCAAAGCGCACAAGCACTCACACTCACACACATACACACACTGAAAAGCAGCAAAGCACACACACACACTGGCAAAGCAGCAAAACACATACACACCCCACAAAGCAGCAACACACACACACTCCCACAAAGCAGCAAAGGACACACACACACCGGCAAAGCAGCAAGGCACACACACACACACCACAAAGCAGCAACATACATACACACCCCGCAAAGCAACACACACATACACCCGTAAAGCAGCAAGGCACACACACATACCCACAAAGCAACAACACACACACACACACACACGCCTGCAAAGCAGCAAAGGACACAAACACACACACCGGCAAAGCAGCAAAACACAGACACACCCCGCAAAGCAGCAACACACACACACACTCCCACAAAGCAGCAAAAGACACAAACACACACACCCCGCAAAGCAGCAACACATGCACACACACACACTCCCGTAAAGCAGCAACACACATACACACCCCGCAAAGCAACACACACACACCTGTAAAGCAGCAAGGCACACACACACACACACCCGCAAAGCAGCAAAGGACAAACACACACACACCCGCAAAGCAGCAACGCACATACACACATACCCCGCAAAGCAGCAACACACATAACACCCCGCAAAGCAGCAACACACACACATACACACTCCCGCAAAGCAGCAAGGCACACACACAGACACACACACACCCCACAAAGCAGCAACACACACACACACACACACACACACACACCCCGTAAAGCAGCAAGGCACACACACACACTCCCGTAAAGCAGCAAGACACACACACACACACACACCCCGCAAAGCAGCAACACACATACACACCCCGCAAAGCAACACACACACACCTGTAAAGCAGCAAGGCACACACACACACACCCCCGCAAAGCAGCAAAGGACAAATACACACACACCCGCAAAGCAGCAACGCACATACACACATACCCCGCAAAGCAGCAACACACATACACACCCCGCAAAGCAGCAACACACACACACACACATACCCCGCAAAGCAGCAAAGGACACAAACACACACACTCCGCAAAGCAGCAACACACACACATACACACCCCGCAAAGCAGCAACACATACACACACATACACACTCCCGCAAAGCAGCAAGGCGCACACACAGACACACACACACCCCACAAAGCAGCAACACACACACACACACACACACACCCCTGTAAAGCAGCAAGGCACACACAAACACACACACCCCCGCAAAGCAGCAACACACATACCCCGCAAAGCAGCAACACACATACACACTCCCGCAAAGCAGCAACACACACACACACTCCCGCAAAGCAGCAAAAACGCACCCCCGCGCACGCGCGCGCGCCTTACCGGGGAAGTCGCACTTGTAGGGCCGCTCGGGCTCGAAGTGGCTGCGCTGGTGCGAGCTGAGCTTGGCGTGCGTGGGGAAGCGCTCGGCGCACACCTCGCACTTGAACAGGCTCTCCTGCTCGTGGCCCTTCATGTGCGCCTTGAGGTTGTACACGGTGGTGAACTTCTTGCCGCAGCCGCCCACGGGGCAGCCGAAGGGCCGCAGCTTGTCGTGCGACTGCAGGTGCCGCTTGAGCTTGTAGGAGGTGGTGAAGGCCCAGCCGCAGCCGTCCAGCGGGCACTTGAAGGGCCGGCGGCCCTGGCTGGCGCCGTGCGTCAGCTGGTGCACCTTCAGCTGGTGCTTCTTGGCGAAGGCGAGCGCGCACTGCGGCTCGGGGCAGCGGTAGGCGGGCGCGGCGCGGCGGCCGTCGGCGGGGCTCGCGGCCTCGTCGGCGGGCGGCGGCGCAGGGGGCCCCGGGGGCTGCGAGCCGGGGGTCGGCGGCGGCGGCGGCGGGGGCGGCGGCGGCGGCGGGGGCGGCGCGGCGGCCGCCAGCGTGAACACGCCGTGATCGAAGCGCACCAGCAGGTCGTGGCTGTTGAGGGTGACGGTGCCCGCCAGGCCCGCGCCCACACCGGGGGCGGCGGCGGCGGCGGGGCCCGGCGGAGGGGGGCGGCCGGCGCCCGGCTCGGCCTCGGCCTCGGCCTCCCGCCGCTCGGGCCCGTCGGCCGCGCCGCCGCGCGCCACCTCCAGCAGCACCACGAAGGCGTCGCCGTCGTCGGGGCCCGGCGAGCTCGGCGCGGCGCCGCTCGGGCCCGCACCCGCCGCCGCCGCCGCCGCCCCGGCCTCCGCGCCATCTTCCCGGCCCCGCAGCAGCAGCAGGCGGCGGCGCGCGGGGCTCGGCGGGCTGCCCGGGGCGGCGGCGCCGCGACAGAACCGGCCGGGCCCCCCGCCGCCGCCGCCGGTCTGAAGGGCCCCGCGCGGGCCGACGGGCGCCACCAGCAGCGCCGGCTGCTCCATCTCAGGGCCCATCGCGGCAGCAGCGGCCGCCTCGGAGGAAGCCCCGTCCGGCCCGGCCCGCCCCGCCCCGGCCCGGCCCGGCCCCCGGCGTGCGTGACGCCCCGAGGCCGCCGCCCCCCCCCCCCCCACGCGCCCGCCCGCCCCGCCCCGCCCACCGCGGCGGGTCGGCGCCAAAGCCCGGCGGGGATCGGCGGCCCCGGAGCCCGGCCCGGATTTCTGCCCGGAGCTGCGCGTGCGCAGGAGCCTCGAGGGGGCGGGGCCGAGGAGGGCCGGCGCGCGGGGCCTGCTGGGAGCGGGCGACGTCACGCGCCCGGCCCCGCCCCCTCTCGCGAGCTTCCGTTGGCTCTCGCCGAGGCGGAGCGCCGAGGCTCGCGGGCGCTCGGGAACCGTCGTCGCTCTGCGCCTACCGAGCGCTTTCCTGTCAGAGGGCGCCCGAGACCGGGTCCGAGGCTCCATTAGTGCCGTAACCCAGACGGAAAAGCGCAGCGGGGAGCGCCTTGGCCCGGCACGCGGCTGCCCGGGGTTCGATCGCCGGCGTTCCCTGAGCACCCCGCCCCCCGGGAGAGATCCCTGAACATTGCAGGCGGGGAGGCCAAAGCTAAGATAATAATGAAGAAGAAGGGACCCTTTTTCGTTCCTGTCCACTTAGCTGGACCTTCCCCGGGGTGTCCCCGAACGGCCCTGCTGGCCCCTGCAGGATGCTGGCCCGACCCGCTGCCCTCATCTTCAGTTGGTTTTTCCTGCAAAAAATCTCACGTGGCGTCGCGCGTGGCTCCACTGTTGTGCGAACTGAGAGGGTTTTTTTTTTTAATTTCTCCTCAGCCTAGCGTGCCCTCGTGCTTCCTCCCCTCAGACCTGAGTCTGTCCACTTTTCCTGACGCGGTGACCCAGATCTCAGCCCCAAGCTCACGCCTCCCTTTGTCCGTCTTTTAGGAGATGACCACCCATCCTGTTGTCCATCTCCGTCATGACCCTTCAAATTTCCACGGAACTGACGTTTGTGAGCGTCCCGAGTCGCTAGTCTGATGATGCCCACCCGAATTGCTAGTCATACGATGCCCACCCTTTCCGTGCGCGCCCTTACTCTCTGGGCTTGGTCTCTCCTTCAGCTACTGATGCTTCTCCTTCATTACAACTTTCCTCTCCATTCTGCAATCCCCCTAGAACCTTCTTTCCCCTTGTACCTCTTAAAAGCCGAGTTAGGTCAGCTTAGAGATTTTATACAGTTTACAGGTACTCCAGGAAGATGCGAGTCTCCGGGACCTGGTCACCCAGGTCCCTGGCATCGAAATGGGCCAGGCCAAAGTGCTATAATACTCAACTATAAGTTGAGGGCATGATCATGGACAAATGCAGTCATGATCCAAAAGTAAGTAACAACGAGACTAGGACCCTGCTGGGCTAGGAAGACTAACCTGGCCTGAGGACTGTAATCTATCTATCTATCTATCTATCTATCTATATATCACGATCACCCTGTTGTTCGTCGATTTCCTCGAGCAGGCACTAGTAATGTCTCCTTCTTCTAGCCCTGAGATTTTAAAAGAGCCATTTCAATGCTCTTCCAGAATTAGGAGAATGAGACTCATCATTGTTACTGGTATTTGGCATATTGAGTACGACACGGGAAGTTTGCCAGACTCTGCCGTGCGGGCAGGATATTTCCGGGAGCTGGATTTTATAGTCTCTGCATCTTGGCTGTTGATGGAACCAACCTGGCGCTGGCGGCAGCTGGTGGATGTGACGCCTACCTACTGGAAGATGGCCTAGTCCCAATTCAAATAGGCTTGGAGACCTCAGCCCCGGGACCCGCATGCCTGGGTTCCTCTGCCAGTTCTTTCATGTATGAGGCCCATCCGGACGTGTGGACAGTGCTCCCAGCATGGCCGTGGCTGGCTCCGGAGGTCCTCAGCTGCTGGAGCTCTGCTTGGGGCGGGGGGAGGGGGAGAGAAACTCAACCCTCCCCCCTCCAAGGGGCCCTGGTGAGGACAGCCAGGCATGGGGGCAGGAGACACTCTCTCTCTCTCTCTCTCTCTCTCTCTCTCTCTCTCTCTCTCTCTCTCTCTCTCTCTCCACATATATATATATATTTATATGGTAGGGCGTTCGCCTTACATGCGGCCAACATGGCCGACCCGAGTTCGATTCCTCCGCCCCTCTCAGAGAGCCCGGCAAGCTACCGAGAGTATTCGATATGCCAGACACAGTAACAACAAAGTCTCCAATGGAGACGTTACTGGGCCCGCTCGAGCAAATCGACGATCAACGGGAGGGCCTTTACCTTTACCTTTACCTTATATATATAGAGCTGGAGCGATAGCACAGCGGGTAGGGCGTCTGCCTTGCACGCAGCCAACATGGCCGACCCGAGTTTGATTCCTCCGCCCCTCTCGGAGAGCCCGGCAAGCTACCGAGAGTATTCGATATGCCAAACACAGTAACAACAAAGTCTCCAATGGAGACGTTACTGGGCCCGCTCGAGCAAATCGATGATCAACGGGAGGGCCTTTACTTTTACTTTACATATATATATATATATATGTATATATATATACACATACATATACATATATATATAGCGGAATATATAGTGAGATTTCCTCAGGAAGAACCAAACTGTAAGTTTATCTCTTACTGTGCTCATACAGAATGACATTGCTAGAAATATTAGAAGTAGACTTACTACAACTATTTAAGTAGATTACTAGCTGAGGAAAGAACACACCCTTGTTGGGATCCCACCCTTGAGCAGATCTCCTAGTAATCTGGAATAAATCTCTTTAGATTTAATCCTTGAGTTAATCTCCTCAAGGAGTGGTTTTACCTCTCTTTGCTGATTTGTTAATGTTCAACCCACCTTTGTGTCACCATCCTACGTGATTGCTATATAAACTAAGACTGTAAGCTCGAAGGGGGCTTGGGGCTGGAGAGAGCAGAGACTGAGGCTCAGGCTGAGGCTCGGGCAGAGGCTCAAGATTGGAATAAACTACAATTGATATTGACCAGCCTGGCTCTCGTTCATTGCTTTGCCTGCCCATCGCCATCAACCTCCCTGAGGTGGGGGAAATGGCTCGAGACTACCGAATGCGGGCGGTAGAGATAGAATGCCGCTGGACCCTTCTGAAAACACACAACCAGGAACAAAAAGCAATTCAAAATGGATCAAAGACAAGTGTAAGAGCTAAAAGTACAGACGAAACAGTGCATATCTGTGTGACCTTGGATAAAAGACTGGTTTCTCAGGCATGAAATCAAAAGCACAAGAAATGGAAGAATAAGATTGATCTTCATCAAAATTAAAGACTTTCAGGTCAAAAAACACCAGCATGAAAATGAAAAGACTATGCACAGAATGGGAGGAAAATGGCAAATTATACATTATATATATATATATATATATATATATATATATATATGCAAGATCTGTGATCATTTTTTTAAAACACAACTGAAAAAAAGCAACCCAATTTTAAAACACATGGATTTAAATGGGCATTTCTCCAGAGAAACATAAATATAATAAGCATAGGAAAAGTTACTCAGCATTCCTAGTCGCCAGGGACATGCAAATCAAAATCACAGGGAGTTTCAAACTTGGTACCCTCATACGTTTTCTCTCATCTCTTAAAATGAAAAGGAATGAGTGCTGATGAAAATGTGGAAAAATTGAAACATTTAGGTAGGAATATAAATGAGGCAACAGCTGTGGAAACAGCTTGACAGTTCCTAAAAAAGTTATAGTTTTTGTGACTCAGCAATTCTGCTCTTACAAATAGACCCTTGCGACATAAAAACACACCCATATGAAAACTTGTATGTGAGTATTCAGAGTGGTCAAAGAAATAATCGAGTGTCCATCAACAAATAGGGTTGATAGGTTATCCCTCAGCCCACATATGGGCAAGCAAAATGTCCAGTGCAACATCATTCAGCTACAAAAAGGAAATGACACCAATGCATATCATAGCAAAGAAGGACCTTGCACACAGGCTGAGGGGAAATAGCCAGATAGCAGAGCCACAGACCTGATGGATGCATTTCTACAAAATGTCCCCAACACTGGGAAATCTACAGGAACCAAAAGTAGACTGGTGGCCATCAGAATCTGGGGGAGTAAGAGGGACAATTGACAGATTGCCAGTTGCTATGGGTTTCTTTGGAAGGCCATGGAAACCAGAAGTAGGAAGTCATGAGGAGCACGGAATAGGGAATATTCCAAACCACTGGCATGTACATCCTAAAACAATGACTTTGATGTGTATATCTCCACCTCCCAAAAATAAATATTTTGTTGGGGGGAAATAAATGCAGAACATTGTTTAGGAAGATCCCATTCACAAAGGACCATTCCATAGGTATGTGCCTATGCTTGGGTAAAGGTAAAGGTAAAGGTAAAGGCCCTCCCGTTGATCGTCGATTTGCTCGAGCGGGCCCAGTAACGTCTCCATTGGAGACTTTGTTGTTACTGTGTCTGGCATATCCAATACTCTCGGTAGCTTGCCGGGCTCTCCGAGAGGGGCGGAGGAATCGAACTCGGGTCGGCCATGTTGGCCGCGTGTAAGGCGAACGCCCTACCCGCTGTGCTATATACTGAAATGTTTTTGATCATTTGTTAGTTCTTTAGTAGTAACAAGAAATATAAAATAAATTGTGTGCTTGCTAAGGGGGCAAGTTTGAGGGGATGGGATTGGAGAAATGGGGAAAAGAGTGGAGGAAAGGTCACTGGTGGTGGGAGTGGTGTTGGAATACTGAAATCCGGTATTATGAACATGTTTGTATATTATTTAAATCTGTAGCGGGCTGGAGCGAAGCACAGTGGGTAGGGCGTTCGCCTTACACGCGGCCAACATGGCCGACCCGAGTTCGATTCCTCCGCCCCTCTCGGAGAGCCCGGCAAGCTACCGAGAGTATTGGATATGCCAGACACAGTAACAACAAAGTCTCCAATGGAGACGTTACTGGGCCCGCTCGAGCAAATCGACGATCAACGGGAGGGCCTTTACCTTATGCTTGGGAAGTTCTAGAAAAATCTAAGAATTTTCTGATGCTTGTGACTGCATCTGAAGCAGGAAGAGGAATGGGGAGAGGGGTGGCGAAAGACTTTCCCTACATACTTCACTCCCTTTGGCATGATTTGATTTCCAAAGCACGAGTGTCGTAATTCAATTTGTCATCCCTACTATGGGAAACAGTATGTTCCTTTAAAAAAATGGCACTATTATATAGATCAGCAATCCCACTTCTGGGTATCCCTGATCTCCCCCGCAAATTAAAGGACTATAAAGGAGGGGTTTGAATAACTATGGTCCAACGCCCATCTCAGCACTTGCCCCTTCCCAAAATAAGAAAGACCCCAAAGAACCACTTTGTTGGATCTTGAGAAACAAAATGTGGTCTCTGGTACTGGACAGCAGAGCAGGAATGTCTCTCTGTACAATGGTCACATCTCAGTGTGGACAGGTTCCTCTCACCCATCATCCCTGCACAGGGCATTTCATGAGTCAGCTTGAGTGCAACGACTAGACACTGTTCAGGATGTCCAGGGTTTTCCCGGATGAAACAGATATGTTTCCATAGAAGAACACCCTCAAGTCTCTAGTCTCTTGCCCATGAGGGTGGGCTTCATTGAGTCTTTTGGAGGTTGAACTAGAACCAAGGGCCCAGGGAGGAAGAATTCTCCATTTTTTTGTGGTCTCAATGATTGAGTGCGGCTGACTCATCATCCTTCCCTGCTCTCACACTGGTAATCACATCTTAGGACTGCAAGATTCTCAGATCTTCAGATGTCACCCAGACACACCACCAGCTTTCCTGAGTCTAAGGGATATGTGATAAGAGGCTGATAATAAACCCAGCCTCCCTCTGACATGCCCACCAGACAACCAGAGATTCCCAAAGCCAGGCCAAAGTGTGTGTCTCCTGCCCCCTTTTATTCTGCTCCCTATACCCCCAGCTAGGTCAGATGGAAAATTACCCTCACCTATTTTTAAAAATAAAATACTTGATTTAAACGGGCTGGAGCGACAGCACAGCGGTAGAGCGTTTTGCCTTGCAAGCCGCAGGCCCGGCCGAGCCAGGTTCGATTCCTCCGCCCCCTCGGAGAGCCCGGCAAGCCACCGAGAGTATCTTTGCACGGCAAAGCCTGGCAAGGTACCCGTGACATATTCAAAATTATATTCAATATGCCAAACACAGTAATAACGAGTCTCACAATGGAGACGTTACTGGGCCCGCTTGAGCAAATCGATGAACAATGGGAAGACAGTGCGACAGTGCTACAGATTTCACGGTCCGGTCACGGTCCTCCCATTATTCATCGATTTGCTCGAGCGGGCCCAGTAACGTCTCCATCGTGAGACTTGTTGTTACTGTGTTTGGCATATTGAATACGTCACGGGGAGCTTGCCAGGCTCTGCCGAGCGGGCGAGATACTCTCGGTAGGTTGCTGGGCTCTCCGAGAGGGGCGGAGGAATCAACTTGGGTCGGCCATATTGGCCGATTGCAAGGCAAACGCCTTACCCACTGTGCTTCGCTCCAGCCCGCTACAGATTTAAATAATATACAAACATGTTCATAATACCGGATTTCAGTATTCCAACACCACTCCCACCACCAGTGACCTTTCCTCCACTCTTTTCCCCATTTCTCCAATCCCATCCCCTCAAACTTGCCCCCTTAGCAAGCACACAATTTATTTTATATTTCTTGTTACTACTAAAGAACTAACAAATGATCAAAAACATTTCAGTAAAATAAAATGTGTGAAAATTATTTTATCTCACCATGGGGTTGTTAAGTCCTTGTCTGAGGGTTTACTAGCTGCTTGCTGCTAATTAAGTCTTCTGCATTATTGTTTATTGAGCATAGTTGGCTTGTATGCCAGTTTCCATCTAATTTGGTGTGCTCCTACTGGAATTTCAGTATTGTGAGACTTGGGGATGTCGTGCGGCTGGTATGTGGCATCAGAAACTTCAGCATCTATAGAACTAAATTGATGACATGACATGGCAGTAGGTGGTGTGGTTGCAGGGGCTTCCGGAAGTATAGAGGGTGAGGGGAGGTAGTCCCCATCCCACTCCAAGAAGATCCCAGACGTCTCAGCCTGAACACCTAGTATCTAGCATTTTCACGGTTTGGTGTCTCTGCAGAGATTGTTCATGCAGCAATGGAGCTGGGTTGGCAGCAGGGGGATGTGGGAGTGGGTACCTAGCTTTCAGCAGGGCAGGGACTTGGCCTGCCCGCCTTTTGAGAGCGCCCTGAGTTTTCCGCCTGGAGATCAGTGTGTGTCGGAGAGTTTTAGCTGCCTGACTTCATCTCACCTCCTCATGTGTTTGACAGCTTCGCACTGGAGGCTTCGAGAGCCCAAGGCGCTCAGATCCCACAGCCGGAAAAAAGGGGTGTGCATGTCTTGATTTAGGAATTCTTTGTGTAGCAAAGAAACATACCCACTTTGGAGACTAGAAAGCTAGAGTTGGCCTCTAGAACCCTCTGTGCGTAGCCGATTTAAAGAAATTTCAGTTTGATTAGAGTTAAAGAAATTTAGATTTTATTAGACGCGTGCCGTTTCCTTTTTAAAGTCGAGTCAATTATAAGAGGGTTCCATATCCCCTTGGTCTCCCAGGCCTGGTCCTGTAGCATGACAGTGGCAGGTCTGTCCTAGACTGGGGGTGGGGACTCCTCCTGAAGGAGCCTCTTTTGGGGAAAGCCAAGATTGTGTGGACTGGGATCCTATTATTTGAGCCAAGCAAGACAAGCATCCACACCCCAGTAAGCTCACCTCTGCCCTCGGTGGATAACACTCTTCAGGGAGTCCGCTTTCTCCCACTGTCTCCCAACCCCCGGGCTCCTCCCAGCCTGGCCTCCGTAGCACCAGAGGGAGTATGTGTGGGTGAAGCATCAAGAGGGGACCTGGGGCCACCAGGGACAGGGAGGGAAGGACCCCAAAAGAGGGAACTGGCAAAAATCAAACACAAAAGTACCCGTTTCAGGAAAAGCAAGGCCTCTGCCAGGGTGCTCAGTGGCGGAAGGAGCCCATGAATCCAGACTCGTGCTGGGCGCAGATGCCCGGGACTCAGGATTCCTGAGTGGACGTCTGTCCTAAATTATGGACTGTATTTCTGCGTGACCCCTGGTGTGGCACCCCCCCACACACATTTTCCCCAGCCACGCATCACTTATCCCTTAGGAGAGAGCCTGGCTGGTCCCCAGGCCCCCGCCTCTGGCTTGTCTGGACACAACTCACTGGGGAAGCTTGGACTGCCCTGTCCACCTTCCCTGGACCCCTCCAAACTCAGGGCCTGGGCCTGGTCCTCAGGGTGGCCACAGCCGGAGCCCCAAGGCCAGAGGCGAGCAGATGGGCCACGGGATGAAGGGAAGGCAGACAGTGATGAGCCAGTCGCGTGGAGGGTGGGACGTAGAGGCAGGCTACGTCATGGCAGGCTCCAGGGAGGATTCGGGCCCAGTGGGGTATCATGACCCCCGGATCTCGGGGTATCAACAGGCTCCCAGCCAAACTGGGGCTGGGGGTGGCACAGCCTGTGGGTGAGGGCAGGGCTGCGTGAGGGGAGGTATGATGCTTCTGATCCTGGAGATCAGGCGGGCAGTGGAGGGGGCAGAGTGGCTGTGAGGGTCAGGCTGGGGACTGCAGGCATGGGGGGGGCTTGGCTGGCAGCGAACTCGGTTCACGCCTGCAGAGCCTGCTGGAGCATGCGCTCATCAGCCACCTCCTGAGGGAGGGTGACCACCAGGCCCTCGTTCTCCTGCATGGTCTGACGGATGATCTCGTAGGCCTTCGGGTTCCCCGACCAACAGCGCCGGGCCACCTGCAGGTGGGGCAGGAAGATGGGATGGAGGCAGATTCCTGCCAAGGTATGTGCGGGACACACACACACACACATGCCATATACACACACAACTTTGCACACACATATATGCACATTCTCCACATGGACACACATGTGCCATACACACACACCACACACACATATATACAAACCACAGTTTCCACACAGACACACGTGTGCCATATATACACACAATTTCTACACACACATATATACACACTTTCCACATGGACACACACATGCCATATACACACACTTTCCACACAGACATACTTTCTACACAGACACACATGTGCCATATATACACACAGTTCCTACACAGACTCATACACGCCATATATTCACACTTTCCATACACATATTATATACAAATCACACACACTTTCCACACAAACACACACACGTGCCATATACACACTTTTCACACACACACATATATATACAAACCACACACACTTTCCACACAGATAAACACACTTGCCATATGTACACATTTACCATAGACATGTATATACAAACCACACACACTTTCACACAGATGCACACTGTACCACACATGTACACCCTGTTCACACATACATATACACATACTTTCCACACACAACACACACTTTCCACACACACCTGTACACATACACGCATATCATTGATATACACTTTCCACACACATTTATATACAACTCACACACTTTTCATATAACACATATCATATTTACACTTTCTACACATATATACACACCACATACTGCACACAAATTCCACACTTACCACACATATATACACACTATACATCAACACATACACGTGTATACATCTACCACACACTTTACACTCACCACATATATATACACACCACTACTGCACACTTTCCTCACATACACACACATATACACTCCATACACACTACACATATATATACACAACACAAATGTGCAACACACACTACATACCACACATCACATACACTTTACACACACACACTCACACACACATAGATGCATGCAAGTGCTGCTCCCCCAAACCTGGCCTGCCGCACCAAACAGGCTCTGCTGAGAGGCCAGCTGTGTCTGCCCCTGGTGCTCCCCACTCAGGGCCCCGCCTCTCCTGAAGAGCCCCGGAGTCGTGTCAGACCCTCCTCTTGTCCTTCTGGAACCAACGCGGGCCTCAGAGCAACCTTCGAGTCTCCCCCAGGGGGCTCCTACCTTCCCCCAAGCCCAGCAGCCACCCGGGGCTTCCCCGGGCCTTAGCACCCCCTACCCCACTCCCTAGCTGCCACATGCAAATCAAACCCCCACCACACACATCCTCCTGCCCCCTGCCTCCAGGGTGAAGACCACCCTGACCTCTGGGGGCTCCCCAGAGACTTGGTCCCTCCCTCACTGTCATGCTCACACTCTGGGCCCAGATGCCCAATTCCACACACATCTGCCGTTACCTGACCTGGCTCTCCTCACCCGCAGGGATGTGTCCCGGAGAGGATGGGGTGCCCCCGCCCCTACACACACACTGAGCAGACAGAAGGCTGGCCTGGCCAGAGAAGCACTCCTGGACCTGCCCACACTCAGAGTGGGGGAGGCATCTTGCTTCTTCTCCCTACACCTCCCAGCACTGGGGTCTTAGAGAACCCCTGCGTGGTCCCCCTCCAGGCAGAACTGGAGGTGAAGGTGAGGGAGGAAGACACAAAGGGGCTCCGGATCAGGTCTGGAGAGGTGCCAAAAAGCCGAGGAGCAGACAGGCCCCTGGCTTGTCCGGGGAGGGTTCAGGACTGAGCTCTGCAGTCCGGAGGGGCCCCCAGTGGAAGGGCTGAGGTGGGGGCAGGTTAAGGACTTACTCCATTGGAGACATCCCAGCCGAGCATCATCCTGGCCCTCTGCTCTGCCTCCTGGGTCCCATCCAGCACGAGGCCAAATCCTCCATTGATCACCTCACCCCTGCAAAGAAGCACAAGTGCCCCCAGTTCACTTCCGGGTCATGACCATGCCCAGAGCCTGGTAGAATGTTTCAGATGGGATGCTTGGTGGTGGCGGGGCAGTCACCCCTGCTGCCCCAAGTCCTTACCACTCACCCCTGCCCCTCAACTTCAGTTGGCTGCCTACACAACTGTGACTCTTCCTGACTGCTTCTAATCTTTATGATCCCTTCCTCCTTCGTTAGGTGTCTTTGGGAGAACTGGTTACTGGCTTGGAAGTCAGAGTTCCTTTACTTTCTGACTTCCTGTTGTGTGTGTGTGTGTGTGTGTCTGTGTGTGTGTGTCTTCTGTGTGTGCATGCACGCACGTGCACAGACTTTATTTTAAATATTTGTAACACCCTCCCCCCCAGGTGAGACAGCAGCTGTGGAAACTTAGGGACCACATGCAGAACTCCCCAGAACAGAGGCCACGGGAGCCTGGGCTGCTGACCCAATTGGACCCAGGCAGGGAAGGGAAGGTGCCACTCTGCCAGTCAGCCCCTTCCTGCCCTCTGCTGTGCTGTTCACCACAAGGCATGGACATAGGACACGGCAGATCAGGGCCCCATGGCCAGCTCTGTGGCTTTGGGTAAGTCATACAACCTGCAGAGTGCAGAGTCTCTCTCTCTCTCTCTCTCTCTCTCTCTCCCCCCCCCCCCCCGTCTCCTCTTCTCTCTCCTCTCCCTCCCTCCCCTCCCTCTCCTTCTCTCCCTCTCTCTCTCCATTCTCTCTCTCTCTCTCTCTCTCTCTCTCTCTCTCTCTCTCTCTCGGCTGTAGCTCGGGATTCTGGCCTTGATGGGTGCAAGAATGCCCAGGGAAGACTGCACGCGTAAGGCCATGGCTGGAAGGACCATGCTTGATGGGGCCCAAGTAGGCTAAGTGGTCAGGGCCGAGCTAGCGGGCCTGGGGAGCGGTGCTCCTCCCTGTGGCCACAGCGCCCTCTGCTGTTCGAGACCTCTAGGACGCCTGCTGGGCAGGGAGCCTCCCCGAGGCTTGGCATTTGTACTCTCCCTTCCCTGGTTTGCAAAGCGTCTTTTCCTTCCTTGGGGGAGGGAGTGGATTCAGAGTGTGCTGTTGCTGCTGGTTCTGTCTTGAGGCCATATCCGGCGGTGCTCAGGGCTTACTCCTGGCTCTGATCGCTCCTGGTGATGTTCGGGGGGGCCATACGCAGGGATTAAACTGGGGGTGCCGCCTGCAGGGTGACCTTACCCCTTGCTCTCTGGCCTTGGATTTCAAGAGTTTAGCAAATGCTTCCCCATGTGGACCATGTGCAAGGTGTTAATTACTTCTCATTCTGAGCAGCGGATGGAACCGTGGCCCATATGTAACTAGAGATTTGGTCTCCACCTCTGTTCTTGGCAACAGAGCTCCTAAAATGCTTGGAATTTCCTAAGTGATGAGAGCAATAAAAAAGGTGCTTAGTGGGGCTGGAGCGACAGTACAGTGGGTAGGGTGTTTGCCTTGCATACGGCCGACCCGGGTTTGATTCCCGGCATCCCATATGGTCCCCCAAGCACTGCCAGGAGTAATTCCTGAATACAGAGCCAGGAGTAACCCCTGAGCATCGCTGGGTGTGACCCAAAAAAAAAAAGGTACTTGGTTATGTTACCAAGGTGAGTGACATTAGGTCCTCGCCTAAGGAGATGGGGAGGGGTGTCTGGTGACCAGGGGAACCAACTGCCTGCCCAAAAGTAGGAGCTTACATCTCACTGCTCCCACCACACCCTGTAAGGGAACAGAAGCTGCAGGTGGCCTGCGGCAGCTGATCTATGATTTAGTTGCTTATGTTTATGTCACAAGTCACCAATACAGCCCCTCCTCAAAAAAAAAAAGAATGGGGATTTGCAAAGCTTTGGGGTTTTGTTGTTGTTGTTGTTGTTCCACGATCCTAGTCCCCAAACTCGGTATGGACCAAAGTGCTAGTCCTCACTCTGTGGGTCTTACCACCTAGGCGAGGACTGGATACTTTAGTATCCTTTGTAAAGCACCTGCCCTCCAACCAGTAATCAGGTTCCCCAAGTTCTGTGGATTGCCTTTGCAAACTCAGGAGTCTGACAAAGGGTGGTGAAAGCCCTGGGGTATAGAGAGGCAGCCAGAGGTGCAGAGGTACCACCTGGAGGCTGAACTGGACGCGTTTTTGTGGGTCACACAGAGGGGCACTGTGGGACACTCAATCCATGACTAAGAATTGGCTGGTGGTGTGGGAAAGCCTCCCACGTGTAGGCATTGGGTGGGAGGGGTGTGAAGAATCCCAGGGAGCATCTGCAGGATGCATCAATGAGTTTTCTGGGAGGAGTGAGACCTACCCAGGAACCTCAACCAGTGTCCTCATGCCACAGGCTCGAGACAAGCCCAAGAGGAACAGAGCTGAGGGCAGCGCGGCCTCAAACCCAGGTCACCTAGCCTGGCTGCCACAGAAACCCTGAGAATTCCTCCCAAACTGACCGAAAGCAAGGTGAAACTGATAAGAAACTGACATGCACGACACCCATCACTGACCTGAGTCCCACGTGTCAGCTGAGAGGCCCTGAAAGGCAGAATGGCCTGTCCCGGACATCACCCCTTTCTCGGGCACCCAAATTTCTAGCCCTCCAGCTCTCGGGCAGAGCCTGGCCTTGCAAAGCCAGCAGCAGAGAATGCTCAAGGGAGGCAAACCCCAAGACACCCCGTGAGCCTAAGCCCGGCCACGTGGGTCCCCCAAACCTGCTTACCAGCCGACGCCTCCTCCGTTGTGAAGGGAGACCCAGGTGGCCCCGCGAAAGGCGTCTCCCACGAAGTTCTGCACGGCCATGTCTGCGGAAACAGAGGCCCCCCGGCGGTCACTTCCTGAGCACAGTGGCCCCTCCCGGGCTGTGGCCCCGGTTGACAGTGGCCCTCAGCAGCTGCTCCGGGCTGAGCGAGAACTTCCGCCGTCCTATCTCACCCGCACAGAAGGCGGAGCCGTCATAGATGTTGGAGGTCTCCCTGAAGGGGCTGTCGGTGCCACTCACATCGTGGTGGTCTCGGCTCAGGACCACCGGTGCCTGCGGGACAGGAGGGGGTCAGCCGGCAGAGGGCGGAGGGCAAGGGTCAGGTCAACAGCTGCCCTACGCAACCCTCGCCCTAGAGGCCAGATGGACAGCAAGGGACAGTGCAACCCTTTCTGGGATTCTCTGAGACACCCATAGGTCCCACCGCTCTGGGCACTTGCTCTCTGCCTGGGACCTACGTGCCGTGTGTTTGTGGTAGCTCACAGGTCTTTATGACCACCTAGCCCGGGGACAGTTGCCATTTTGTAGAGAGAAAAGCAGGGTGGCAGCCTGCCCAGTGTCACACACTGGTAAAGGGACAGGTGGGAATGTCAATTCCGCCAGTAGAGCCATCAGCCAGCCCCTGGGTCTCCAACCACTTCAACTTTGTGCTGAACTTGGCCACCTTCCAGAACATTCTGCTCGCGGCTCGACCGACATCAGTGATTCACGAGGGCCTGTCCTCCCCATCTCATCGGAATTTGTCACTCACTTCCCCTCTCCCCCCACTGCCCATACATTTTCCTCAGGATCGGTCGCTTTCTGGAATGTTCTCTGAGCTGATGGATCCTCTCCCTGTGACTTGTAAGTGGCCCCTCACTAGTGGAGCCCTGCCCATTCTTAGCTCATGGCAGCATAGAGGCGCTCAATCAAGACTGCTAAAGGAATAAATGAACAGTGTCCAGCTCTCGGCTTAACCAATGTGAGGCAGTTTTCAGGGAGGAAGACACACCACCCCCAAATACAACATGAGTTTCGGGGGGCTCCTGAGGGGGCATGCTCTGGGGAGCTCCCTGGGCAGGGCTGAGCCTCTGCCTCTGAGGCTGGTGCTCTCTGGACCGTCCATGGGGATGGTTCTGGCACACAGTCTTGGCCACCTCTTTCCACGAGAGGGCCAGGCCTCCTGTCACTTCCTTGACACACAGCGTGGGGGTCAGTCCCCCTGCCCAAGCTCCATGTCTACCCAAGTGGGTCTGGCAAATGGAGAAGACTGGGCAGAAGCAGGACACACGCCTTGGTCTGAAGCATCCCACAGAGAGGCAGGGAGCAGTGCGAGGAAGCTGCCACATTCCACCCCAGCCCCAGCTCTGAGCATCTCATGATTGTCACCGCTCACAAGAGGGAAAGGAAGCTCAGAGACTCTCACAGCAGGGGATGGCCTGGGGCACATCACCTTGATCTTTCCATTGGCGATGGCACGGTTGAAGGCCACGGCAATGGCCACGCGGCCCTTCTGGTCAGAGTACAGGATCCGTGCCTGGGAGCCCACGACCTGAGCAGAGACAGGCCCGGGGAAAGGTCAGCTGGGAGTCTGCGGACACACGGCAACAGGCTCCACCAAGGCATGAGGGACTCCTGGCAGAAGTGCAGGAGGACCCCCGAGACAGGTGGTCACTCTAAAGCCTAAAGGCTCAGGCCCAGCCCAGCCGGCAGAGCTGGCCCCACCTGGCCACACACTCTCTGGGCGCCCAGAGTCCCCCCAAGACCCGGCCCTGCAGGGCTCACAGCCGCACTGTCCTGTACCTGTGCAACAGGGAGCACCCTAAAAACCCCAGGTGGGGGGCTGGAGCGATAGCACAGCAGGGAGGGCGTTTGCTTTGCACGTGGCCAACCCGTGTTCGATTCCCAGCATCCCATATGGTCCCCCAAGCACCGCCAGGAGTAATTCCTGAGTGCATAAGCCAGGAGTAACCCCTGTGCATCGCTGGGTGTGACCAAAAGAGAAAAAAAAAAAAGATGGGGGCAGAGACCCAGGAAGGTGGGGAAAGTCCCCTCCAGGCCCTGGGGAACCCCCAGTGCCTTCTGAGAGCCCAGTTTTGGGCTGGTGCCTCAGTTGCCCCCTCCCTCTATGCTTCCACGCTGCCCCCCTCCCCCCCCCCCCAGGCCAAGTCTCACCATGCGGTGCTTGGCCGCCTCCCGGATCCAGCGGATGTTGTCCATATACTGCAGCTTCACCACGGGGTTCACTGCAGACACAGAAAGGGGCGTTTTCATGGAAATTGGGGCCCTGCCTCGTGTGTTGGGGGGTTCGTCCTTCTGGAAGGCTAACGGGAGAGGTGGTTCTGCTGTGGCTGAGATCTCTAAGCCCGCTCGGATCGGGACTGGGCCTCCTCCACCCAGATCCCCAGTTTTCCAGTAGCTTGCCAGCCACACCACAAACTGCCTTCCCCCCCCCCCCCCCCCCCGTCCCATCAATGGCCAAGATCTAGAGACTATAAACTAAAGCTCCCGGAAGAGAGCGATGCAGTATTTTCTGGAGCGCGTGGCCACGACCTCTTATAACTAAAGTAGCACACGTGTGTTTGGTTCTAACATACTTGCTTGTATTCTTGTGCATACGAGCTTAAATGGCCCCATAATGAAACGCAACAATCTTCGCACACTTCCCTCTTATTGTGGTGGGAAGATGCTCACTGGTTGGGTGGATGTTTGCAGATTATCTGTAATGAACTACTTTGAACTACTTTATGAAAATAAAATGCATAAAAATAAAAATAAAATGAAAAAATGTAAAAAAAAATTTATAAAATGTAAAAAAATAAATTGTACAAGAATTTTACAATAAAAATTCTAAAATAAAGTCTATAATTAAGGCTATGAGGCACAAATGTAAATTTATCAGAAAAGAAAGTTATTTTTTTGTAAAATGCCTAGTGATTAAATTCATTTAGAAAAAGAATAAGTCAATTTTCTTGAATATTCATCACATGAAGACTTCAAATTTTGTTTTCAAATAAATACGATACTACATCTTAAAAAAAAAAAAGAGATGGAGGTCCTGTGCCCTGTCCCGTCCAGGCCATCATGACTTTGGGCACCCCACAGGCCCTCTGATCCAGTAGGTGCATGAATGACAAAAACATGAGCACTGGGAGTACGTCACTGGGCTGGTGGCATAAGGAACCAATGGCCTCCCTGGGGAGGGGACAGTCAAGCTAAGTCCTATAGACAAAGGACCTCGGGGTGGAGGGTGCCCAGTTCTAAGTAGAAGGCCTGTCAAAGGTCGAGTGGGGTATGGGGAGAAGTTGCTTGTCCCAGAGACACCAGCGGCCACCACAGGCCGAGGGCAGGAGCCTGGCACTTTCGTAGTTCCCATCAGCTTGTGGGTAAGACCACAGGGGCTGGGGTGGGAGTTAACACTGGCATCACCAAGACATCAGTGAACCCAACTGATGGGGTCAGAGAGATAGCACAGCGGGCGGGGTGTTTGCCTTGCATGTGGCCGACCTGGGTTCAATCTCCAGCATCCCATAGTGTCTCCTAAGCACCTCCAGGAGTGATCCTGAGCACTGCTGGGTGTGTGTCCCCATTCTGAAAGCATCTGCCAAGAAAGAAGGGGAGACCCCTGCCTTCCTAATCGCTACCTGTGACAGGGTGCTCTGGGCCCCACCTTGGCTGGTCTTCCTTTCCGCCTGGAGGAACAGCTATTCCCACATCTCCCCACTCCAGCGGTAGTGCGGACCCCAAGGCCAGGGTCAGCCGGAGTCAGAAGGCCCCTCCCTAAAGAGAGGCCTGGGGGTGCAGCCCACACCGGCGCCCTGGTCTCTGGGGGCTGTGCAGCTGCTCCACCATCAGGAGCCTCAGGAAACATCGGGGACCCCGCCTCGATGTACTCCCACTCCTGCCTGCCCTTAGCCTGGTTCTGCAACTTTGGACCCCCGTGAGCCAGACCCCACTCGTCCCTCCAGCGTGGATGTGCAGTGGGCAAATGTGCCATCAGAGAACCTCCAGGGGAGAGAGGATGGCCCGGGAGGGCGAAAGGGTCTGTAAGAGCCGCCTGTAAGCCGGGCGGGGATCATCCCACAGGGAGAAAGAGGGCGGGAGGGTTGGAGGGCGGCACCATGGGCAGTCAGGAACTCGCAGGCCTCCGGAGACCCTGTGTGTCCCCAGCGCGGCCCTACTGGCCACCTGCCGCCCGTGACCTCACCTCCGCCGGCGATGATCTCCTCCAGCACAGACGTGGCCAACTGGTCCGTGAGCGCCAGGTCCTGCGGGTCCCCCGACGTGCACACCCAGCGGAAAGGCCCGAAGCCCAGGGAGAAAATGTCCCTGCGGGGAGGGAGCTGTCACCAGGAGCCAACAGCGGTGCAGGAGCTGAGCACCTCAAGAATCCCTCAGTCCCTTCCTGCTCTCCTCCGGAGGGACCCCCCACTACCCCCACACCGCCCACCATTTCCTCGCCACCCCCCACGGCCCACCACAGCACCCCCCAGACCCACCCGCCACCCTTCACCCCGACCCTGACATGCGGCCCATGGCCCGGCCCACTCTGGCCTGCATCTCGCCCACGAAGAACCTGAGATGAGGGTCCCCCAGGGCTCAAACCTCTCCCCACTGTCCTCCGGCCCCTGTTCCAAGCCGCCCTGCGCCCGTGTGACTGCTTGGTGTGACCACCAGGCTTAGGCACTCAGCCCGGTCCTGGGTCATCTCCACACCTTCCCCACCCCCACAGAGCCCCCCACCCCGGCCTCCGAGCCTCGGGACCCCAGGAGCATCAGTACTTGGGGTCACAGCTGCAGCCCCCACCATGTTCCCCAAGGGCGCCTGTCCTCTCTGTCCCCTGGAGGAGGACAGTTCACGGTGGCGCCACGGCCACTCCACCTGACCAGACTCTCACACAGAAGCTGGTTACACACCGTACTTCCCCCCATCACAGGGCCCTGTCACTCACCCCATGATGTGTTGCACATACGAGGGGTAGCGGAACTCAGTCGTGTTGGCCCCTTTCTTCTCCACATCAGCACCTGTGGCGAGAGCCGTCAGCACAGTGTCACAGGCCTGGAGGACTGGGAGTGGGGGCGGGCGCACCCCTCCACCACAACCCTCCAGGCGGCGCTGCAACAAAGGGTCCCAGCAAGACCTGGAGAGGCCTCGCCTGGGCTGGGAGGCATGAGGGGAAATGGGGGGGGGCAGCAGGGAGGGCACGTGGACCTGGCCGGGAGGACACGTACCCACCTAGGCTCACAGCCGCCACCCCCAACACCCCCAGTCCACGTGCTTCCGGGAGCAGCGCAGGTGGTGGGACACGGGGCTGGGTGGGACCCAGCCCCCTGCCCCTCCATGAACAATCCCCTTTGACTTTGCGCTGGCAGTAAGGCTCACCCTGGACACAGCTAAGGGTCACTCTTGAGCCCAGAGCTAGAAGGAACCCCTGAGCGCTGCCAAGTGTGGCCCCAAACCCACCCCCAACATAAATCTAAAATGAGCTTTGTTTTTTTTTTGTTTTTTTTTTTTTCTTTTTGGGTCACACCCAGCAATGCTCAGGGAGGGGTTATTCCTGGCTCTGCACTCAGGATTCCTGGCGATGCTTGGGGGACCATATGGAATTCCGGGGATCGAACCCAGGTCGGCTGCATGCAAAACAAACGCCCTACCCGCTGTGCTATCACTCTGGTCCCCTAAAATGAGCTTTGTGTTTGCACCTTCCCTACCCTCGGTGGTGGCTGCCAGGCCCAGGGGTGGCGCCTTCCAGCCTCTGTGCCCCCACCCCCACTTGACAGGATGGGGTGGGGGGTGCCAGCCAGCACGTGCTTTTCTGTAACACAGGGCTAGGGGGGAGGGATCTGGGGTGATACTTGGGCACATGGGCTGTGCTGGGATGCCCTTGGAGGCCTCCGATCTGCGAGGACACAGTCCTCCACCACAGGGAAACTGAGGCCCAGAGATGCCAGGGACCTGGAAGAGCCACCACAATACCCTGCCCACTGTTCTGGGCGGTGGCGGGGACCCCCTCAGTGCCGCCCCTGCTCTCACCTGCTCGCTTGGCCTCCAGGAGAAATGCGTTGCCGTAGTCCCAGAAGAAGAATTTCTCCTGGGCCAGCCTGTTGATGGCGGCCACGTGCCTCCTCAGGCTGCAACAGAGCCCCGAGTCCTGCTCATCGGGACGTGCTCCGGCCACCGGGTCACCCCCAGCCCCGCTGACTGCTGCTGCTGTCCCTCGGAAACCCTATTCTCCAGGGTCCCGGCCACCGGCTTGGGTAGTGCCTCTAACGGGCAACACGGGGCTCCTACCCAACCCACACCCCCTTCAGTCCTCACTTCAAGCATCTACATATGGACAAGCATTTCCTGGTCACCTGGGCCAGGCTCTGGGGAGCACAGAGGCTAGCGTCCTGCCCAGAGCCAGGGAGCGGGTTCACGTGCTAACTGAGCCAATGTCTGCATCCAGAACCTTCCCCCCCAACACACACTCCATCAGCATCTACTCAGCACCCCCGGGTGTCTGGAGCTGCAAATATCCCAGATGGTTCCCCAGCATTGCCGAGGGGTACCAGTGCCCGTGGGGTTCTGTCTGACAGAGGAGGCCCAAGGCCATGCAGCTGACCCCAGAGGCACAGGCAGAGAGGCAGGTGTCCTGCCTGACCCCACTCCCACCCTACACAGCCCCGGCACCTGCATCACCTTTCCTGGACCAGGCCCTTGAAGGCGGCAGGGTCGGAGGCCATGAGGCTCTGGGCCTCGGCGAAGCCCAGCTGCACGGGGTAGTAGCCGCCGTTGAACGGGTTGTGGCAGGAAGTCTGGTCTGACCCCAAGTCCACCAACAGCTCCCCTGTGGTCTCCAGCTCCTGCACCAGGCGCTCCCTGGAGAAGCCACGGTGGTCAGAGCTGGCCAGGGCCATCCCCCACTGCTGGTCCTGCCCTCAGCTTCCCCCTGGGAAATTCTTCAGCGTGCCTGATGGATGCCTGGAGTTTGGACCAAGCTCTGGGCTGTGGATGCTGTGGGCAGGACCTTCGCAGAGCCTCGAGGCCGCAGTCAGGAGGAGGAGGTGGAGGAGGGGTCCCCAAGGGTCCACCCTCCCGACTTACCAAAGATCCACCACGTTGCCATGGTACCCAAGGCTAAGCACTTCCTTTTTCTTCCTGGCTACCCTAGAGGGACAAAGAACAGCAGAGATGGCTGTCCCAGCTGTCCCAGACGTCCCTACCCACACAGATGGCCCCTGATGGCACAAATGAAGAGGACCCAAAGCATATGTGCTGGCAGGGCCACGTCATGGGGACCTATGGGGCCAGGCCATCAGGGACATGGAACCAGGGCAACCCAGTGATGGGAGAATGGACCAGACCACCCCTCCGAGTATTCTCTCCCTGGGGGCCAGAAATGTCCCAACTCTAACGGGGATCTTTCTAGAACCAGCCCCCAATGACTGAGAATTGTGGAAATCATGAAGATGACCCCAAATAGCATTTGGAAAGGTGAGAAGAGAAAAACACATGGAGACATTGTGGGAAACGGATTTGCAGACCCGGGCGCCTTTTTACAGAGAAGAGAGGAGGCAAAAATGCGGTGGGACTGGGCAGGGCGGCCACAGCAGGGGAAACGGGCAGAGGCCCCCGACTAATGCCCAAGGACGGGCCCTGTGGTCTAGGTCTGGGAGAGACATGTGTGCCCCTCACAGTGTCTGCCTGCTGGAAGGACAGCAGGGTCCCAGGATTCCCACCCACACGCCCTGCAGCTCAGAGAGGAGTGAGATGGAGCAGCCAAAGGCCATTAACCAGGACTAGGTTGGCCTGATCTGTGAGTGTGTGTGTGTGTCTGTGAGTGTGTGTGTGTGTGTGTGTGTGATCAAAAAATAAGCTAGCCCAAGCTGTAGAAGTGACAAGAAGCCAGATGGAAGCGTGACATACAGAGATGACTAAAATATCAGGGTGGCAGGAGTGTGTCTGTGATTGTGTGTGAGTGTGAATGAGTGTGTGTGAGTGTGAGTGTGTGTACCCGTATGAGCATATATGCAATTATGTATGTCTATGTGACTCTGAGTGTGTCATGCAGATATGCACGTGTGTGTGCCCATGTGTGTGTGTAGAGTGTGCAGGACACACACAGGCTCGTCAGACAGGAGTCAAACCATGCAGTCCCCTAATCAATGCACATTGGGGGGGGTGTAGGCTTTCTCCCCCATGAGCAAAGAACTGTGTGTGTAAGGGGGCGCCCACTTCTGGAGGGTCTGTGGGTGAGCCAGTTTACTTAGAAGGGAGAGGTTGGGGGACAGAACTGTTTCTCAAGTCTGTGTGTGTTTGACGTCTGCTGGTTTGGGGGTGCATCTCCTTGGTGATGCTCGGGGGGCACCAGGGGCACAGCTGGTGGCACTGAGGATGGCACGCAGGGTGGGGGTTTAATCAGGTCCTTGTGCTCCAGATGTCCTCCAGTCTTTGTGTTATCTCCCTGCCCCTTACGAACATTTTCGTGAGCCTCCCGGGATGCCGTGGGGCTGAGTGCTCCCTGGCGTGGCCTCCTCGTGGCCAGTGGCCGGTGTCAGTGAACCTCCTCACACTTCAGTGGAGCTGCGAGCCCCTGCCCACTGCCCACCTGAGTCTCTCGATGCAGCGGTCCAGGCTGTCGGTCACCTCCATCAGCCAGCCCTGCTGGTGGCGTTTCAGGAGGGCGGCCTTATCCACCTGCGGGGACACATGGAGACACCCAGTCACGTCAGACACCACTCATGGACTTAGATACATAAAACCGAAACATTCGCTCCTGGCACCATGTTCTGGGACCAGTTCTGGGAGATTAAATACACCTTTTTTCGAAGCAGGGAGGGGACCCTCCCAGTTGTGCTCAGGGTTTACTCCTGACTGCAAACAGGGTTCACTCCTGGTGGGATTTGAACCTGGGTCCACTGCCTGCACAAGCGGCACACAACCTGCCATACTGTCTCTCTAGCTCCTTGTTGTGGGGCGGTCATGACCATCCATCCCAGAACACGTGTGTGTGTATGTGTGTGTGTGTGTGTGTGTCAGGCCTTGTGCATGTGTTGTGCTGTTGAGCCACTTTTCCAGGCCCCATCCAGTTTATCAACCAAGACTCCCCTTAAACACCATCTCCCTCCCCAACTCCTGCCAGGCCCTCACAACCACACACATGTCAACCATGGGTCTCTGCTAAACCATAGGGTCACATGACAGATAGTTGTGTGGAACTCTCATCCTGCTTTCTGTGGCACTGACATCTCCACCAATAGGGTGGAGGGTGGGGGGATTCGCTCTCCCCAGCCCCCTGCCCCAAGACACTATCCACGCCTCTCACACGCCTCAGGGCCATCGGACACTTACCCTGTCCTGATTTCCTGGTCCACTTCTTTGTGTGTGATTATTTCTATTTATTTATTTTTGTTGTTATTGTGTTTGGCATATCGAATACATCGCGGGTAGGTTGCCAGGCTCTGCCGTGCAGGTGAGATACTCTCGGTAGCTTGCCGGGCTCTCCGAGAGGGGCGGAGGAATCGAACTCGGGTCAGCCATGTTGGCTGCGTGCAAGGCAAATGCCCTACCGCTGTGCTATCATGCCCAGCGAGGTGCAGGAGTTACTACTCCTGGCTCTATACTCAGGAATTACTCCCAGTGGTGCACGAGGGACCATGTGGGATGCTGGGGATTGAAACCAGGTGGGGCGCATTCCAGGCAAGTGCCCACCCCCTGTGCTATCACTGTGGCCCCTGGTCCACTTCTTAATATTCAGCACACCCCGCCTTCCCCAGCTCAGCCCCAGGAAGTGAACCTCCATCCAGCTATTCCTAACCCTCCTCTGCATGCTTCTAGCATCCCCTGCAAGATAAGAATATATCCGTTTGATCCAACACTTGTTCAGCGCAGGGAAGCGGGGAGAAAGGGGTTGAAGGACATTCGTCACTTATAGTAGGTGCGTAGTATCTTCTCTGCTCTCCCTGCTTGTCTGTGGAGGAACAGCTGGGACTGGAGTAGCTCTTAGTTTCAGGAGAGGCCCTAGACTAATCTTTGTTGTTGTTTTTGCATCACACCTGGCAATGCTCAGCAGTTACTCCTGGTTCTGCACTCAGTAATTACTCCTAGCACTGCTTGGGAGACTGTATGGGATGCCAGGGATTGAACCTGGGTCTGGCTCATGCAAGGCAAATGCCCTCCCTACTGAACTACTGCAAAATCCCCCCTAATCCCACCGTGAGAATCTTGAGTCACTGTCCCCTACTGTTGAGCCCGCATCTTCGATGTGGGAGGCAGGAAAAGTATCCCCCTGTGGAAGTTAGCCACTGCAGTGCCAGATCCTACCGAAGAGGTTCAGTATTGGCCAAGTGCAAGTTGCAAGGGTGCCCATGTGCCGGTGGCGGGCGGGGGGGAGGGGACCTTCTGCCCCAGGGCCTAGCTGGGAGCATCCCCTCCTTGGCACCAGGAGAAAGCCATCTGCACCCAGCTCTGCTGATGGCTGCTCCCCTCCTGAGAACGGGGCTGGGGAGACACTGCACAGGGCATCCACCCCGAGTAACGGTAACTGGCAGGTCTCAAAAAGTTGTTTGCACACCCCATTTTGCAGCAGCGTCACCGACCAGACGGACCCCCTGATCGATACATGGACTAGCAAAAGCACAGACAAGCTCTCGCCAAGCTCGCTGCAGCCCCGCTCTGGCCCATGCCCAGAGAATTTGCTGTCTCAGAAAGCCAGGGACAGGCACTGGGGCATTGGGAGGGTTGAGAGCGGGCGCCATGGAGCATCCCCGGGAATCTTTGGGGAGGTGGGGGGGTGGGTGCGCATGTTCGGCTCACCTCTGCTATCACGCCGATACACCCCACGATCGCTGCAGCCTTGGCCTGGGCCCCACTCATTCCGCCCAGCCCCGAGGTGACGAAGACCTTCCCGGTCAGGTCCTGGGCGCCCAGGTACCGACGCCCGGCGTTCAGCACAGTGAGCTGCAGGGAGGGAGGAGGAGGGGGAGGCACTCAGAGTCCACTCCTGGGACAGCCACCACCCGTCCCTGGGGTCGGCGGGGCCCTGTCTCTTACCACGGTGCCGTGGACAATCCCTTGGGGCCCGATGTAGCAGTAACTGCCCGCTGTCATCTGGCCATACCTGACCGCAGAGAAGGCAAACACGGGGTGAGGCGGGTACCAGGAAGAAGTCCCCGCCAGCCCTGTGGGAGGCTTTCACCTCACGGGTACTTGGCCCAGTGCATTTCATGTCACCTTTAGCACACAGCAGTGCGGAAGAGGCCAACCGCCCCCCCCCGATTCTGGCCCTCCCTAGCCCCCCAGATCTTTTCTCACAGGTTCATTCTCATACCGTACTGACCAGGTGATGATATGGAGGTGAGGGTGTGTGTGCCTGGATCAGGTTTGATCCCTGGCACTTTGTGGCCTTCAGAGCATCACCAGGTGTAGGTTGGGGTGGCCCTGGGGGCATCTGGGCCCTGGCACCGAAATAGCTCGATTGGCCGAGTAGTACCAGAAATGGCCCCCAGATCCCTGGATCACCTCTTAGGAGGATCCCCAAATACAAACAAAAACTATGGTATCTTTGATAAAAGTAATTTTAAGAAAACAGGCTGGGGACGTGTCAAGTGGTAGAGCATATTCCTGGCACTGTATGGTCCCTCAAGAACTTCTGGGTATAGCCCTGGTGACCCCTAAAACTTCCAGGTGTGGGCAGACACAACAATTTATAGACATAGCACATGGTTCCCGAAGAGTGCCAGGGTGGCCTAAGTGCCCTAGGGAGGGCCATGATGAAAGTCTATGTATATGCACATAAATATAAACATTTACATCCTGTCCTGGGCTGGAGTGGTAGCACAGCGGGTAGGGCGTTTGTCTTGCACACGGCCCACACAGCCGACCTGAGTTCGATTCCTCTGCCCCTCTAGGAGAGCCCGGCAATCTACCGAGAGTATCTCACCCACACGGCAAAGCCTGGCAAGCTACCCGTGATGTATTTGATATGCCAAACACAGTAACAACAAGTCTCACAATGGAGACGTTGCTGGGCCCGCTCGAAAAAATCGATGAACAGTGGGAGGACAGTGCTATAGTGCTACATCTTGTTTTACTATAAAGCACAGCCAGCCAGATCATGATGAGTGAATGAATGGGTGAGTGAATGAGAGGATGGGTGGATGGACGAATGGATGGGTGGGTGAATGAATGGTGTCCCATAATATAAATGGAAGTGGCCACTTACATTGTGACCCCCAAGGCAAACATCTTCTCGTACTCGGCCCTGGAGGAGTAGTTGGGAATAACCTGGAAGAGAGGGTGGGGGTGGGGAATGGGGCAACACAGAGACCCTGGAAACGGGACATAGGGGGGCTCTAGGCTGTCCTGCTGCACCCCAGGACCCACCATCCCATTAGTGATGACCAGCCTGGGGCCAGAGGGGCTGCTGGGGAAGAGGCCAAGTGGGTGTCCGCTGTACATGACCAGTGTCTGCTCCTCGGTCATCTGTGACAAGTAGGCCATGGTCAGCCAGAACTGCAGGGGAGCAGAGCAAGGAGAGAGTGAGAGGAGGAACATCCTGGGAGCCCCCCAAGGCTCCAGGGATCCCCCAGTTCCCAGGAGAGTCCCGGAGGGTCCCACCCCACACCACAGTGTAGTCATCTCAGACATCTGAGTGGCCGGATGAACAGGGGAGTAGCTGGAGAGGGCAGGGGAATGGCCGGAGGGGCAGGAGAGCAATCAGAGGAGTCAGGGGAGTGGCCAGAGAGGTAGGGGAGCGGCCAGAGGGTCAGGAGAGTGGCTAGAGGGGCAGGGGAATGGCAGGAGGGGCAGGGGAGCAGCCAGAGGAGCAGCGGAATGGCGGGAGGGGCGGCCAGCTCCTGCATACCTGAGCCCAGTTGCTGAACACCTGCCCATTTCCTCCGTAGGTCACGAGCTCCTGGGGAAACTGCAGGAGAGGTGGGACCATCTGAGACGGGGTTCCAGGGAGGGGAGGGGGGGAGCTCCATCCTGCAGGAGCTCCAATGGGGCATGGGGCTAGAGGAATGGGGGGGCTCCCTGCATGGGGGAGCCACCTGAAGGGGCAAGTCCCAGGGCTACGTCTAGGGGTAAGGCTAGCGCGGGCTGTGGGGGCTCTCAGGGGAACTCATTCCAGCCTGCTGTCCTCCTGGGCCCACATTCAAGGCTCAGGGCTAGGGCCGAGAAAGTTTCCCACTGCCACTGGTGGTCAAATGCCCTGAGGAGTAATAATCCTTGGGGACTGACCCCTACAGGCCCGGGTCTTTCTCAAGTTGGGGGGTGCTGGGCCCAGAGAGCTCTCCCAGACTGCCCATGACAGGCACACATGGCCAGTGAGTAACCATCGCACGTGAGCATCACCACTCCCCATATAAAGTGTGGCCCTCCCAGCCAAGGCCAAGCGGGAGAAGCCACTGCAAGAACATGTCAACGCTTTTCAAGCTGCTGCCATGCCCATATTCTCCTGGATGAATAAAGTCCATCTTTGTACGTTTCTTTGTATGTTTTGTTTGGTTTCATTGGGGGTGGGGGGGCGCGCACATCTGCCAGAGATCAGGAGTCACTCCAACCAGCCTTGGGAGATATGGGGTGCCCGGGAGCAAACTTAGCAAACCAAGCTCCTGCCCACTGTCCTCCAGCCCTCTAGGTGAGGCCACACATGGCCTTGGCGCCGGCACTGGTCATCTGGATGCTTGCCGGGCCCTAGTTTCTGAGGCTGAAGCTATGCGGGTGGAAACTTCTAGACGGGTTGATTGTCCTCTCTGGCTGGTCTATGCAACTCTCTGTGAATCTAGTGTTATTTCTACCAAAGAGGTTAAATGTCCCCACCACCCCCTGGCGCGTCTGGGCTGGACAGTGCGCACGCCGCTCTTGCCCGGTCTCCCCAACCTCACCTGGGCTACGGCAGGGTCCAGGTTGTTCATGATCATGTGCATGATGGCCGCAGCAGCTCTCGTCCGGCAGGGGTACTGCTGGATCGGGTAGGCCCTGCAGGGGAGACGGGCCCCAGGCATGAGGCCGGGTGAGGGAAGGACGGGGTGGGGGGACACCAGCTTTGTCCTCTCTAAAACCAGACCCACCCCTGACCCAGACCATCCCCCCTCCCCACCAAGCAGGTGCCAGCTGGGAGAAAGCTGACCTTGACACCCACTTTCTAGAAACTTCTACTCTGCGCCGTGTTTATTCATCTCTTCTTTCCTTCCTGCCACCTGCCCTCCTGGGCACCTGTCTGTCCTAGAGCAAGTTCCTCCCTGCCGATGGGGAGAATACTCCCTGCGAGATTCAATCGGAGCTTCTGGCATGTTCCAGAACATGGCTCTGATTGTGGTTTTCGGTGGGATTGGCAGTGGTTGGGGGTGTGGGAGCTGGGGGTACCTCCCTTCCCTCCCACCCCAGAACTGTGGGATCCGAAGGCAGCAAGTCTGGGGTGAGGCTTAACCCTGTGCATGTTCACCAGTTCCGTGAAAGACCCCCTAACATGACCTTATGACAACCCCCATGTGGGCAGGCCATGGCCCCCCAGTGTGAAAGCCCAGAACAGCCCAATCTGCTGCCACTTTCTGGGGGTTCCTGACTCCAGCAAGTGTCCTTTCGGGGCCTCCGAAGCTGCTCACCTCATTTCAATGGTGGGGGAGAAGCGGTACATGTAAATATGCCCATACAGCCGCAGTTCCTGGGCGAACTCAGGGGCCAGCTGCTTCTGGATGTCCGGGGGGAAGTAGCGCAAGGCGTTCTTCAGAGCCAGCTGTGTGCGCATCGGGGAGGGAGAGTGAGCAGTGGGAGGAGGCGGGTGCAGGCCCAGCATCCTGGGGCTTCTGGTGACTCATCCCACTTCCTCAGTTGGATTTGCCTCTGCCCCACTCAGAAACACGTGGCAGTACTCAGAGGCTGTTTTGTTCTCACCCCAGATTCCCCACAATGCCACCTTGTGCAGGAAGTCCTCCCTGACTGCTCCCTCTTTCATGTAGGTAGACCTCTAGTTCTTCTCTCTACTGGCTAGCTGAGGGACAGACTGTTTGACCCCAGACAAGGCCCTGAGGGCTAGTGGTGGAGGCAGATTCAAGGGGAAGGAGAACAGTTCTTCCAAGGGTGCAGGCGCCTGGTCTGGGCGTAGACAAATGGCCTCCACCAGCCTGGCAAGGAGCCTGGGGCCAGTGCCAGGCATGGGCACAGGAAGCCAAGAGAAAGGACCCTTCTAAGGGCTGTCATTGAACCAGGGAGAGAGGTTCAGAACTCCCAAGGGGAGGAGATAAGTGAGGGGGGTCAGGGCAGGGGTACTGCTGGATGGATTGTGGTGTCCAACTATCTTCCCTCAGTGAGACTTCTGAGGGTGAGGGGAGACAAGAGATTAGGGTAGTGCATTCATCCACCCACCCATCGATCCATCGATCCATCCACTCACCTATCCATCCACTCATCCACCCATCCATCCACCCATCCATCCAACCACCCATTCACCCACCCACCCATCCACCCACCCACCCATCCACCAATCCATCCACCCATCCATCCATCCACCCATCCATCTACCCACCAACCCATCCACCCATCCATCCATCCACCCAACCAACCACCCACCCACCCATCCACCCACCCACCCATCCACTCACCCATCCATCCACTCACCCATCCACCCACCCACCCATCTACTCACCCATCCATCCACTCACCCATCCACCCACCCACCCACCCATCCACCTACCCACTCATCCACTCATCCATCCATCCACTCACCCATCCATCCACTCACCCATCCACCCACCCACCCATCTACTCACCCATCCATCCACTCACCCATCCACCCACCCACCCACCCATCCACCTACTCACTCATCCACTCATCCATCCATCCATCCATCCACCTATCCACTCATCCATCCATCCATCCATCCATTCATCCATCCATCCATGTCAACTGAAGGAAAGAGTTGTGTGAGTTTCAGAGGAGACCAGTTTTCAACTCTGGAAGGCTTGAGGTGACAGCACAGTTGTGGACTCAGGACACGGCATGTGAATTTGGGCAGGGGTAGCAGTCCCGGCCAGGAAGACAGGTGGATCCCAGGCAGGGGCCGAATAACAGGGGGAGGAAGGCGGGCAGGGAAAGAAATCATTCCCAAGCTTGCGGGGGCAGAGCAGGCAAAGAGGAGGCGCCCTGGAGGAGCTGGTAACCCCCAGAGGCTGCCAGCTACAGCCTCCTCTCTGTGTCTCATTTCTGCCTGGCTCTGCACACACCCTCCTCCTGGAAAGAGTGAGCAGAAAAGACAGAAACTAGAGGGACTGGAGCAATAGCACAGCAGGTAGGGCTTTTGCCTTGCACGCAGCCAACCCGGGTTCGACTCCCAGCATCCCATATGGTCCCCTGAGCACCCCCAGGAATAATTTCTGAGTGCATGAGCCAGGAGTAACCCCTGTGCATCACTGGGTGTGACCCAAAAAGAAAAAAAACAGAACAGAAACTAGAACCATGTGGCACCAGGGGCATGTGTCCTACTTGCCCAGAGGCCTGGGTGGGTTGCCTCCAGGACTCTGATTAGCCTTTCCAATAGCTTCTTGGGGGCTGTGACTATAGGCAGACACCCCGCTTTGGGAATCCTAACAGGGCAGCTCCTTGCAGTTACGACAGACCAGCCTCCCTTAGGCAGGCACAAAAGGTCATTAGAGATCAAGTGCAAGAGGTTAGGGGCTGGAGCGATAGCACAGCAGGTAGGGCGTTTGCCTTGTACGCGGCCAACTCGGGTTCGATCCCCAGCATCCCATATGGTCCTCTGAGCTACCGCCAGGAGTAATTCCTGAGTGCAGAGCCAGGAGTCACCCCTGTGCATTGCCAGGTGTGACCCAAAAAAGTCAGAAAAAAATCCACAAAACAAGTGCAAGAGGTTAGAGGTAGGGGTTCAGGGGCATCTGTGAGATGACCCTATCCCTCCCCTCTGCCTGCACCCTCCTGAGATGACATCTGTGCACAGGTGGCTCCAGTTGCCAGCTGTTTGGGTGCCCCAGCAACATGAAGACTAGAGTTTGGCACTTGTGTCTGCTAACTATGGGTGGCGATGCTTCTAATCAGAGCTCGCCAGGGATAGAACATTCAAGAACACAATCGCAGGGCTGGGGATGTGGCTTGAGCAGCGGCGCTCAGGCCTGGCATGTGTGGGACCCTGGGTTGCTCCCTCACAATGTACCGTCTCCCCACACCATCAGGGGCAGCCCCCACAACTAACCAAGATTTTGAAAGCAAAGTGTACATACACACACACACACACACGCACGCACACACACGCACACACACGCCTTATTGCCCAGTCTCTCCTAGTCTAGTTTCCTGTGCTCTGTGTTCTCTGCATTAGCTGCTGGCAGGGGGGGGGGGGGGTGCAGGGGGGGTGCAGGGCAGTGATGGGAGCACTGCAGGGCTGAGCTCTGATGCCCATGTTCTTCCAGCAACATGTTCTCTGCGCATGTTCTGAGATTGGCTGTTACATCTGATCCTCTCTCCTGTGCCAGCCGAGGGAGGCCTGGGTTAACCTCACAGGAGCTTCGGGGATTTTGTGCAGGTCATCAGGGAGCAACCGGAGGAGCCCGGGCAGCGTCAGAGGGAAAGCCTGGCAGAGCCCAACATGCTCTGAGCCGTACGTGGCGGCAGCAGGAATTCAGTTGGCTTGGATGAAGCAAGGCATGCGTGCTGGGAGCAGGAAGCAGATTCTAGCAACTTCTTGAAGCCTAAACACAGTGCAAAGCCCTGTCCGCCATTCTGCTGTTCCCTTAGCTACAATCTTACATAGATTTTATTTTTAGGATGGGGGGTGGCTTGGGGGCCACCACTACTGGCAGTGCCTGGAGACCCTTACAAGGCTACACGGAGCTATCTCCCTGGCCCAAGGTTTCCTTTCTATTTCGCTGAAGCTTTTTCTTTTTCCTTTTTGGGTCACACCAGCAATGCACAAGGGTTCCTCCTGGCTCTGTACTCAGGAACCATCCCTGGTGGTGCTCAGGGAACCACATGGGATGCTGGGAATCGAACCCGGGTTGGCCGCGTGCAAGGCTTTCTTTACCTCCAGTTCAGTAATTTAGCTGAGCCATTCCTTTTTATTTGGGTTTGGTTTTGGGCGGGGGTGGTGGTATTAGGGCCACCTAAGTCAGTGCTCAATGCTCAGGGACCTCTCCTGGCAGTGCTCAGGGGTCGAACTCAGGCTGGCCCCATGTAACATAAGCACCTTCACCCCTGTATTCCAGTTCAAGCTGGTTCATGGCTGACCACCGGCTCATCTACCTCAACCTTTCCCCTTTTTCCTTCTTCTGAGGAAAATCCGCAATTCCACGCACATTTTCTCAGTTGTGCTTGGTCTGCTGCTGGCAAAGTGCTGCGTGCCAGTTCCACAGAGGGCAGCATGGACAAGTGACCTCTGCTGGGCTCCAGCCACTGGCTGGGGGGGCGTGAAGGAGCCACTACCAGGGGTGCCCCCTTGTCCCTGGCAGCCTCAGAGAGGAAGAAGTGACAGGACAGGGGGGTGTCCTTTCTGTGGAGAGTAGGGAGGGCAGGGAGGAGTGCATGCCTCCCACCTGGTCACCTGGGACATGTCACCAGAACCTTGGTGACCACATCACAGCCTGGCCCTCCACACTGCTCTTTCTCTCTCCCAGCGGAGCCTCTGCGCTCCGGGCCCTGAGAAGCTCTAGAAACTTCTCTCCGGGTAGGAGTACTCCGCAGCTGCAGGTCACGGTCGCTGCGCCCTGGGAAGTGCGCGTGGCGCAGGGGGCGGTGACATCGCGGGGCTTGACCTTTCGAGGGACTGGGGAGCCGAGTGCCCCTCCCTCAACTCGCCCTGTCCTTTCGCTCCTCCTGGCCCCGCCCACCGCAGTCCCGGGGCGTCCCGTCTGGGGCGCGTCCCAGGTGGGTGCGCTGTGCCCAGTGCGCGCGTCTCTGTCTCTGGCCCGGCTGGCAAGTTCTGAGTCTAGAGACCAGAAGCTGGAGAACACCCTGGATCTCTCTGACTCTGTCCCGCACCCCGCACCCGCACCTCGCACCTCCAAGCTGCTCCCACCAGCGCACCCAGCTGGGGGTGCGGGCGGGTGGGGGGGTAGCGGTGCAAGGGTGGAAGTTCAAAGTCCAGGACCAGCCCCTGGCCGGCAGCACTTCCCCGCCCTGCCCTGCCCGTTCAGGCCTGCGGCCCAGGCTGTCTCCTGGAGTCCTCATCTCTAACGGGGACTGTGATTCTGCACCCCAGCGCGGCCACTGAGCAGGGAATGAGGGTGAGGGGGGTGTGACCCCCACACTGGATCCGTCGGATCCCTTGGATCCCTCCCCCAAGGGAATCTGGGAGGTTGAGTGGAAGGACTGGAAGGGGGGACCCCCAAGGACATCTCCATCCCCACCCAGGGGTCCAGGGGCCCCAGCTTCTTACCTGCTCCTCAGAAGGGCTGAGACCAGGGGTCCTGACAGGGGCGTGGGGCACCCCAGACCAGCGTCCCCTGTTCTCGGGGAGCGGCCGCAGGGGCAGGCCTGAGCACAGGGCCTGGAGGCTGGACATGGTGGTTGAGAGGGAGGCCAGGAAGAAAATGTGAGGACAAATCCCGTTCACGTCAAGGACCTCAGCCGGCCACCTCCCTCAGCCCCTCATTGGACCCTGGGACCGTGGAAGGGGCCACGTGGGGGCCAGCAGGTCACTGGTCCCTTGGCTGGCTGCCTGCCTTCTGCACGGATGTGGGACAGCAGGAAGGGGGGTGGGAGGGGACTGTCCTGGGCTTTCTGCGGGGGAGATGGGGTGCTGGGGACCGTGTGTCCTGCGTGGGGGTGGGGGGGATCCACCTCGAGAGGCTGGGTTTTCTGGGCCGCATCGTGGAGCACAGAGTTGGGGGGTTGCTCTGGTCCCTTTTACAGGAGAGTCCCAGGGGGAAGCAATGTTGGGGTTTGTGACTCGGCGGCCATAGAGAGCCTGCAGTGTGGGTGCAGGAAGCAGACAGTGGCCCCATAGGGGAGAGTGGGGACAGGCTGCTAGGAGCCCACTCAGCAGGTGGAACCCCCAGTCACCCCCCCCTCCCACACACACACCACTACCAGGTACGTCTGCCCCAAGCCCCAGGGAGCTCCCATCCTTGGTGCCAAAGACAGGCTTCTAGAATGCGCTGCTCCCTCACCCCCACCCCATGGACAGCAATACCAGCCCAGGCTCAATGTACCAGCCTCAGGAGTTGGGGAAGCTGGTCTCAGCCTGTCCAGTCCCATGGCCTTGGGTCACTGTCCCTCCCGAGCAGTTATGAGGGCCGGGGGGGGCGCGTCGTGCACACCTTGAGCTGAAAGAAACCTCCAATCTCACCTGTCAACTCTGCTCAGCCCCTGTGTGTAGGTTTACCCCGCTCTCCGACCCCCAGGAGGGCACCATTCCATTTCGCAGATGTGGAAACTGAGGACACTTGCCCACGACCACATCAGGCAGGTTGTGGGCTGAGCTGGGATGTGAATGGAGCCCAGGGGTCTGGCTGGGGCCACTCTGTGACTTGTCCAGGATCAGTGGGGAAGGCACCATGTAGGCTGTGGTTTTCCCCCTCCCCCGGGACCCTGCACAGATAGGAGTACGGAGCTACTTCCTACACCCAGCAGGCTCCTGGGTGCTCGGTCCTGGTGCAGCCCTGCCCCCCAGCCCTGCTCTTGGCTTCCAGGGACCCCCTCTTGAGGACAGCCCCATCCTCACTGATCTGGGCGGGGGGTGGGGTTGAGAGAAAATAGCCAACGCCCTTGCCCCTGGGCTGGGTAGTCGCATGTCACTGCGTAATTGTCACACCCTGGTACTTCAGTCCCAATACTGGTTTAAACTTTTTAAAAATCTTTTTTTTTTTTTCACATAAATGCATCCCACTTTTTTTTGTTTGGAAAAATAGATACTGACATAAAAATTCACAACTGGCACCCAGAGATAGAACAGAGGTTGGGGTGCATGCTCCCGACCTGGGTTTTATTCCTGGGTCCACATGGTTCCCTGAACTTCACCAGGGGCAGCCTTGGTGGCCCAGGTCTCCCCACATTGCAAGGCCCCTGTGATACTGACAACGAAGTTCCCTGAGTCTCAGGGTTGGGGCTCCGCCCTCCTGAGCCTCGCATAGGAGGACCCCCACAATGAAGAAAAATCTACAATAATCATGTAACCCTGGGACGCTCCCACAGGTCCTCCCCGCCCCGGTCCGCGTTTCTTGGATGTATCCCACCTCTGTGGGCCTTTGTCCCTTCTCTTCACTGCTCCAAATGAAAACTGCTCCAGACAGAAACTACCTCATCTCCATTGGCTTCTGGGGAGCCCTCAACATCCCGGGGGTCCTGAGAACGGAAATCTAAACCCTCCTGAGAAACGGCACCATGACCTGTGTCCCTCTAGGGTCCTGGTCTCACTATGAGCCGCCCACGACTCCTCAGATGCGGCGGAGGAGAGGGGGTATGCAGGGGACCCAGTTGGGGCAGGAAGCAGAGAGTTTGCCTCTCCTGGAAGAATTCCCCCTGGTGCAGAAGCTGCAAAGCTGGACAAGGACAATAAATGAGCACCTGCTGTACCCTGTCCTGGAATACCGTGGCAACAGGCATCTCCCCTTTCCACCTTCCACCAGCTCCTGTCTTTGGTAAGGTTTTACTTGCAAGCCCACGGGCCTGGTAAGGGTCTGCCAACAGTTAATGAGTTACCAATGCTGGACACCGAAAGGTGAAAATAATAAGACCTTAGAACAGTTAGAACCGGAAGAGCCAAGTGACCGGATAGATAACCCGGGTCATTTCGCAACAAGCTCATTATAATATATTTACATGAAAAGCCACGCCCACTCTCCCTGCCAGTTTACAGTTGCCATGGCAGCCGCAGGATGTGGTCAAGGATTCCAATGTGGGTGGTGCTTGGACTCTGACAAATCACCACCCCACCAAAAGCTCTTTCTTCTCTGAAATCCTAAGCGTTTTCTACCTTATCTTATTCATTTCTAGACCTATAGAACTTAGAGATTTGTGTAAAAAAAAAAGGTGCTATGCCTTTGAAACTCTACCTCACAATGACCCTGGAATACTGTAATACTTTCCTCTTGTTTTGTTTCTGAGAGGTCATACCCAGTGATGCTCAGGGGTTCCTCCTGGCTCTGCACTTAGGAATCACTCGGGGAACCATACGGGGTGCTGGGGATCGAACCCCGGTTGGCTGCGTGAAAGGTAAGCGCCCAGCTTGTGGCACTATTGCTGTGGTCCCAGACCCGAAATACTTTTAATACAACCCTCTGTCTTGGAAACAACGCCATTCTCTTCCGGTTATTCCCACACCCTGATTCTTGAGCCTGTACTTGCTGTGAGAAACTGCTCAGCAGCTCACGTTTCTCTGACTTGCTCTTGCATTCTTTCCCGAGGCAAAGTCAGGAACCTGGACCCCAAGAGGCAGAGAGAACAGGGAGGGAGCCTTAGGCCTGATGGCGGCTTTCCTCGCCCCATCTCAGCAACCCGGCTCCCCGCGGTTCCTTATATGATCACACGGGGGCGCTGCTCTTCGGCCTGAACCCACTTGTCAGGGACCCTTGTAGGTGGCCTGAAGCTCTCTGGGCACAGTCCAAGCACCCGGGAGCCCCAGGCTGAAGGATGCCTTAGGGAGGGTGCTTGGTGACTACCTGGCTAACCCACAGTGAGCTGTCAGGGATGGCCAGCTGGGGCTCAGTTTCCAGATGACCAGACCGAGCTGCCATCTGAGAGATCAGAATGAATACACACACACACACACCCAGCTCCCCTCCCCGCCCCCCCCACCCCCCGCCGGGGAAGCAACCCCTTGCCCTCTGTCCAGTTCCAGCCCTACACAACTGTGAATAACCTCCCTACGGTGTTTGAAGCTACTCAGGTTTGGGGCCCGTTCCCTATTGGGTTCATTATTCAGCCACAGCTCCCGAAATTTTGTCTCAGAGCCTGTCCTGGGACTGGGCCAGGGATCGCCCCTACAGAGACTCCCCCCCCCGCCCCCATCCCTTTGTCCTGCTTTATTTTCCTGAAAAATGGCTGGAGCGATAGCACAGCGCTAGGGCATTTGCATATCTTCAGCGTTCCTTCGCTATGGGCTGGACAGAGTGAGTGACCATGGTGTGGCCTCAGGTGAACCTCTCGGGGGACAGCAAAGGATGCCGGCAGCAGGGTTCTCAGAGCAAAGCTCGAGGCCTGATCCTCTAGCCTGGACTATTCCCCCTCCCCCCTCCCCCCCCCGCCCCCCGCCCCATGCCCAAGTCCCACCTTGGACTCACATTCGGAGACAGGGACTCCAGTGACATTTCTGGATGCTGGGTCAAGTTGTGGTGGTCAATATTGACCACCAGGTGGCAGAGCAAGAAGCCGCTGCATCCTCCTGTGTCAGGACCACCACGCAGGGAGGGCTTCCCTCTGAGAGCGGAGCTTGGAGCTATACGCTCCCAAGGCTGACTTGTCCGAGCAGCTGGAAAGTGGCAAGATTGGGGTTTTCTCTGGCTTCATCTGGGCTTCCCACTCCTCTGCACGTCATCACCGCGGGGGGACACATCACATTTTTATTTCATTTTATCTTAGGTTTTGTTTTCTTTTGCAGAGCCCCGCCAGGCACAGGCAGTAACATCATCCTCAATGACCCCCCCCCATGGCAAATAAGTCCAGTGGCACTGCCAAATGTCCCAAACTTGAGTGCCAGCCAGCTGTATCCAACTTCTCAGCTGATCTCATTCCATTCTCACCACACCAGGTGCATGCACTGTCCAGGGGAAAGGGGCTCAGAGAGGTCAGGCCACTTTCCAGGCCTCACACAGCAGACAAGCAACACCAGCAGGGTTTGGGGTATGCGTGTGTGTGTTTCCCAAGAGCAGTTCAAAAGTTGGGGTTCACAGGGGCACTCTACCCCACACACCACCATGCCAGGTGGAGCTCTGAAACCCCCCCTCCCACCACCACCACCACCCAGCCAGAACCCTTTTGGATACATCTGGTTTCCATTCAGTAGGGCTGTCTGTGGGGTCTTCTGCAAAGGCTGGACTCGGCTTTACAGTGGCCACCTCTAGTGCGGGCATCAGCAGCACAAGGGCATGGGGGCAGGCCATTCCCCGTGAGGCTTGACCAGGTGGTACTGGGGTGCATGGAGGGAAGGGAGGGGCAAAAGGGGGGTTTTCCTGGTGGGGTTGGGGGTGGGCGGGAATCGGGTCTCTTGTCCGCAGCCCCTCCAAGGCGGGACTTGATTCTTGTCCCGACACAGCCCCAGGTGATGGGCTGAAGGCGCATGCATGGCCCCCCAAAGTCGCGAGAGGCCAAGAGGAAAGATTTGGTGCTGGGACAAGGGGCTCCCAGGGGAGACACGGGCAGTTTCCCCGTACCAGCCCTGGCTGGGGTCCTTGGCACCGGGAAGCAGCAAAGTACAGCCAAGGGACCCTCTATTCAGGAGGTGCTCCTCGGCCACTTAGGGAGGACGGCGCCCCGGAAAATAAAACCAGAAAGGCCGGGGCGTCAGCGGGAACAGGCTCTCCACGGGTCCAAGCTCCCGCCACCCACCGCCTGGCCTCGGTCGCCCTGGACCGGGTGCGGGAGCGCAGACGGGACAAGACCCGCCTTTCCCCGCGCTCCCCGGGGCCACCCGGCCGGCCCTGCCCGCGCGCGCGCCCGGCGCCCGCACCCCCGCGCCGGCGCCTTGGTACGAGCCGCGGGGCGGGCCGTCCCGGGGCGGGTCCCGGGCCGGCGACACCCGCAGCCCCCCGCGCGCTGGCCGGCCGGTCGCCCCGGGTCCGGCGCAGCATGGGGCCGCGCGGCTGGCGGAGGCGCGCGCTGGCCGCCGCGTGTCTCGGCTGCGCGCTGCTGCTGTTCCTGGGCGCCGCGCCCCGCGCCCTGCGCTCCGGTGAGTGTCCGCTGGGGGGGGGGGATCCGCTCCGGACACCCCCACCCCCCACGATCTTGATCCCACCTCGGAGGGGTGTTCGGACCTCGGGCTCGGCGCTTGGGGAAAGCCGGGACGCCCTCAGTTATCTCCTCCCCCACCCACTTGGTGCCCCCAAGTCCTGCCCCGGGGCGGAACCTGCAACAATTGCTCTGTCCCCGGGTGGCGGCTGGGCCCCCTGGGGGTTAGGGGTTGTGTGCAAAGACTCCTCTGCCATCCACCTCCAGGTCTGAGTGGGGAAACTGAGGCAGGCAGCGACCTGGCCCCCTGCCCTGGTCTTAGCTACGAGGCTTTTTGCTCAGATCATTTCCCCATTTCACAGAAGAGGAAACTGAGGTCAACGAGAGGTGGAGGGTGGGGTGGGGTGGCTCAGGTGCCCCCCCCAACAGGGGCACCAACTGTGGGGACCCCAGTGCCTGGCAGCTGCTGGCTCGTCTGACTCTGGCTGTGTGCCTTTTCCATGGGGGAATGTGACTGCATCCGTAAGAGTGTGTGTGTGTGTGTGTGTGTGTGTGTGAGAGAGAGAGAGAGGGGGGGGGGTATGTGTGCAGAGGGGTGTGTGTGAGTGTGGGTTGTGTTTTGGGAGGAGTGTGTGATACGTGAGTGTCCACTCTACCTCACCCAGTGGACTCCTCAAGAATCCGTAGGGGTCCCCTCTTGGACAACCACAGACTCTGGCTCCCCGGGCGAGGAACTGCACCCCAGGGTGGGCAGAGACGTGGCTGGGGGGTCTGGCAAGAGGAAAAGGGGAGGCCACAGCCTTAGGGACACCTGCAGAACTGGGTGCTCGGGTTCAGGGGAGGGAACTTGGAGGAGCTGGAGCAGCGTCACTGTCCTGAGGTCATGACTGGGGTGCCTCTGTGCTCCCCGTAACCTCCCAGACTAGGCCAGGACGAGACCGGGTGCCTGAGAGGAGCTGCGGTCCCACTGAGGCCCGGCCACCCTGAGCACCAGTCTGGACTGCCCGAGCCCACAGGAGAGAGTGGGGGTCCCTCTCCACCCTCTGTGGGCCGGTCCTCCCGCTGTCCTCCATGTCCATACACCCGACTCTTCCTAGAGTTCACCCAGCGCCTGAGATGCGGAGTGGGGTGCCCTGGCCTGTGACTGGAGGGGGGTTGCCCCAGGAGTGCATGGAGGAGAGGCCTGTGTGTAGGGGCACCTCTGGGGTGTACAACCCCCCCAGCTTAGGATGCATCTTTCCTTGTGTCCCCGACTCAGCCTGGCCTGTAGGAACCCCCACCCATCCCCCACCCCGCCACACCCCCCTGCAGACAGCTCTCAAGTCGGCCCCAGAGACTCTTCTTGGCCCTGAGCCCACTGCTTCTAGACTGGGGGTCTCTGAGCCCCACGTCACAGCCCCTGCTGCCCCCAGAGCCCCCCTGCACACCTGCTGCACGGTCTGGGCTTGGGGATCTCTGGGCAGGCTAAGGCGGGGTCCCCAGCATTTCCCATACTCCACTGTTTGATGCTTCTTGAACCCGTCAGAGCTGAGAAGCCAGTGTGGGTGTGTGGTGGGGGGCACGTGGCCCACTCAGGGGGCCAGTGGGGGTCAGGGCCTCGTCCTGCAGGCTGCCAGGACTCTGGAAATGGCTGCGGTGGGTTCCTTCTCCCTGTATTTGAGGGGGCCGGGCTAGAAGGGGTGAGGGTGAGCCCCTCAGGGCCAGGACCCAGGAAATCTCCCAACTCTCACTCAGGGTGTGTGGGCTGACCCTGGCACCCCAAAAGGGGCCAGTTCAAGCCCAGGGTTCTGCCCCCTCTGCTTTGGGGCTCCTGGCCCTTCTCCCTGGGCTCCTGCCCCCTTCCTGGGGCTCCCACTCCCCTCCCTGTCCCAGTGTGGCCATTGGGACTCTGACCACCAGTCCAGTGGCCCCAGGGTCCATTGCTATGCAGTGCTGGACCAGGGGCCAGTGCACAGCAGGAGGGAAACGTCCATCTCTGGTATGATACCCCCAACTCTGACTGCAGCCCCTGCCCCCAGGGCAGCCCCAGGGAGAGCCTGGGCACGACCACTGAGCCCCCAGCCTGTGCTGACCCCTCCCCCATTGGCTCGCAGGCACTGGGCCTCTCTCCTGGCGCTGGGGTCACACGTGTTTCTGTTTACTCCAACCCCTTCCCCAGATCTGACCAGGTGAGTGAAGTGTCTGAGTCAGAGTCTCCAGATCTCCAAGTCTCAGCCCAGACCACCAGGCCCAACCCCACTTAGGCTGGCGTGGATGCCTTCAGGTCTGGATGGGTCCATGGGCTGCATCCATGCTGGCTCCAGCCCTAGGCGTGACTTTTCTCCGGAAGCCTCCGTCTCAGCAGCCCCAGGCCCAAAGGGAAGGTTCCTGGGGCTGGAGAGGGTACAGCAGGCAGGGCTCTTGCCTCGCATGCGGACAATCTGGGTCTGGTCCCTAGCACCCCATATGGTTCCCTGAGCACAGCACCAGGAGGAAGTCCTGTCTGAGCACTGCCAGGGGTGGCCCAAAAAAACAAACACAGAAGAGAGAGAGAGGAGAGAGAGAGAGAGAGAGAGACAGAGACAGAGACAGAGAGAGAGAGCAAAGAATGATGGTCTTTTTCCCCGGCGCTTTGTGGCATTCCAGGAAGAGAGTTCGATTTGGGAACAGGGGACAGAATCCAGACTTCCTCAAACACCCACACGAAAGGCGGGAAGGGCCTGTTCCCACCTCGGTCTGGTCACCTGAATGAATGTTCCTGACTCCAGGGGCCACAGGTCACCCCGGAGGCTGCAGCGTGACCCCCAGCCCACCCCAAGGCGGGCCATGTGGCCGGGGTCCTGCTCCTGCCAGCCTGGTCTTGCGACACAGCCCTGCGGGGACTGATTAACCAGCCGAGGGTGGCGTGACCTATGCTCACTGGACTGGGGTCACTAGTGCTTCCCTGAATGCCAAAGCCTGCAATCACCCCCCGAATGGCTTGTACCCCCCTGCCGGGGGCAACCGGAGACTCTCCTGGTGTGTGTATTAGAGGGAGGGGCTCCCCAGGCTGATCTCTCAGCATCCCTGCCCCGGGTCTGGCTGGATGGTCTCACACTGTCCCCGGACTTGGCCAAGGAGCGTCCCCACCGTGGTCTCAGGTGTCCCGCCCATCACCATGTGGCCCCGGGTGGCTCACTGTCCACTCTGTGCCCACCGGCCAGGGACTGGTGACGGGATGCCTGAAGAAGCTGGGAGGTAGAGGCAGGCAGAGGTCACTGGGGGTGCGGGCTTGCTGCTGGACCTTTAGGGGTGCCAGCATGCTGCTGGACGCAGGGCAAAATCCTGCTCTTCCATGATGGGAGGCTTGGCCTGGGTTTCTCTGACTTGCTCTGTGCCTCGGTTTCCCCATCTCTCAGATGGGGATAATAATAGTCTGTACCAGAGAGGAGTATGAGGGTTGGTGTGTGGGGAGCACCGGGCCGGGCGTTTCCCCCTTCCTGCCCTGCTTCCTGGCCTCCCTTTATGTCAGCCACCCCGTACCCAGGCTTAGCTGGGCTTGCAGCACCCAAAAGTCTGGGGTTGCATCATCCCCACAGCCTGAGCCCATCCCTCCCCCACCCCCACCCCGCCACCAGCCCTGGGCTTCCCCACGTCCAGCTGGCCTGTTTTCTGTCCACAGCTCTGGGATGGGTTCTGCCATCTCTGCCCAGACGCTGCCCTCGCTCTCTCTGGGGGCACTGGCCACCCCTGCCACGGCCACCCCTGCCCGGGGTCTGGCTGGACACAGACCATTGTCCTCTTCCCCTCTCTGGCCTCCGCTCAAGCTCCCACTATTTCTGTTTCCCCTTTTCTCCGTAGCAACCCTGGTGGTTCCTGCCCCACCCTGACCACCTGGTGACTCCTGGGGCTGCCTCCGTGGCAGGGGCCTGGGACCCGTAGCCAGAGGAGGGTCCCAAGTGAGGCACCGAGCCTGGCAGGCTGGGGGGATGGGAGGGCAGCAGGAGTGGGTGTGGGAATCTCCACTGGCCAGGAGGGCACAGTGGGGGACACCAGACCCCAATCTCCCAGTACTCCCCTCTGTTGCTCCATCCCTGTTGGGCCCGCCACCCTGCTCTGTGGCGGCTGGGCGGGGTGGCCGGCCCTGTAATCACCGGCCACAGCTATTCTGGGCCTCTCTCAGTGCTTTTCCGCCCACTGGTCCTGGACTTATTTTCCTGCAAGCAGGCAGGAGGGGGGCTGGCGTTTCTGGAAGGCTGGGTACTCCCACACTGCGGGTGGAAATTATTTGGGGGTACCTTCTGGGATGGGGTCCCCTCTGCCCACCCAGCTGATCCTGGACTTCAAGGGGCTGCCGGATCTCTCCACGCCTCCACGCTCCTGCTGCCTCTCAGGCCTGGGGGTGCTGTTCTATGTGGGGTGTTCCTGGACTCAAGGCAGCCCGCACGGTCACTCTCTCCAGGCCTGGGGCGGCGGACACTGGGTGACTGGGACCCTGGCTGCTGCCAGGAAGTACGACCTGGGGCGCCTGCCTCTTCCTGCGGGCTCTGGGCCTGTGTCCCCGTGTTCGCTCCTGGCCCCAGTCACTTGAGTGTCTGTCCTGCCTTCTCGCCGGGTGGAGTCTGGACATGTCAGTGACCGTGGTCATTTCCAAGCTGGTCAGCACAGCCACCGCTGGGAGCGCCCTCAGGTGCCGCCCATCGCTGGAGCTCTGGATACCTCCATGTTCCCGCTACCACATGGGGTGACAGGTCTGGGTCTCAGCTCTGCCCGTCTGCCTCCAGCCTCTGCCCTCGTATGGCGCACCCCAATTCTGGCATGCCAAGTCCCTCGGCACAAACCCCTAAGACGCTGGAGGCTGGCTGGGGCTCCTTCCATGCTGCTAGCCGGGAAACGGGTGGCCGGGCCCCACGGCCATCACGCAGCGGTGACACCTATGTCCCCCACAGCCTTGGAAACCAGGGCGCTGGGCTGGCTGAGTGGGCAGAGGAAGACCCCCCTGCAGAGGCTCTACGAGCTGGACCAGGTAGGTGAAGGACCCCAACACAGACACCTGGCAGCCCTCTACCTGAGACCTGAACACATCTGCCCCCCCGGGCTGCCCCTACCCACCCTGAGCTGTGCAGAGGTTTTGCCCCCAAATTCAGGATCTATCCAGTCCTACCTACCCCACACTAACCCAAGGCCACACTCTCATGCTCTTGATAAACCAATGTACGTGTGTGTGTGGGGGGGGGAGCAGATCAGCCATCTGGTGGGGTGAGCCTTTAAGTGAACCTCCAATTTCAGACCCAGCTGTATTTGGGAAACAGGTCGGTGCCCAGGAAGAGGTTAGGGGGTCTAGGAGGTATGAGGGGAGCTGGGCAGGGGGCCCTGGGGTCAGCAGCCCATGGGCCTGGGAGCTGGTACCTCTGAAGATGGGATGGGATGGGGTCCCCCAGGTAGCCCCAGGCAGAATGTCTGTCCCCCAGTCCCCTGGGAGGGGACCTATCCCCTGGGCATCTTCCCAGACATGTCCTAGGCACAACGTGGCTGTGGTCCAAGAGCTTCTCTCGCTGTCCTGTTCCCCCCTCTGAACCTCCCCTGCTGGATGCAGGTGCCTGCTCCCTTCTGGCACTTTTTAATTTAATTTAATTTAATTTTTTTGCTTTTTGGGTCACACCCGGCGATGCACAGAGGTCACTCCTGGCTTTTCACTCAGGAATTACCCCTGGCGGTGCTCGGGGGACCATATGGGATGCTGGGAATCGAACCCAGGTCAGCCGCGTGCAAGGCAAACTCGCTGTGCTATCGCTCCAGCCCCCATCTCTGCTGGCACTTCTGCCAAGTGTTTGGGGAGCCGCTGTTCAGCTCACACGCAGAAGCCGAGCACAGAGCACCCCTCCTCCCTGCGGCCCCCAGGCATGCTTCCCTGAGACCCTGCTCCCCACCCCCACACAGGCTCCCCGCCAGCCCTGGGGATGATCCGATGCCAGTGCAGCCTGTGACTCTGCAGTCGTTTCAGGAGGACCCCTTGAAAGCAGGCTGCCCCTCGGACCTGCCTCTTGGAGCCATTTTCACCCCCACCTGCATCTAACCCCCAAGTGTGACGCGCTAAATCCTGTTCCACAACTCAGCTTTCACCTGATATATGCTGGACGGCTGCAGGACACTTTCATTTATTTATTAATTTGGGGGTTTGGGGCTCACACCAGGCTCACCAGTGGCCTTCAGTCTCCTGACCGCTAGACAGAGCGGGGGCTCTTCACCCTTCCCATCTGCTCCCTCAGCTGCCCCCGACTTCCATCTGGCCCCTCCCCGGTGCCCACAGTCCCCACAGAGTGACCCCTTCAGTTCCCATGCGCCTGTCCATTCCCGAATGTCACCCCTCCCTCCTGCAGAGCTGCCTCCTGTGTCTTTATTGGTGATTTTTGTTTGTTTTGTCTTGGGGCCATACCTGGCAATGCTCAGGGCTTGCTCCTGGCTCTGTGCTCAGGAATCACTCCTGATGGGGCTCCAGGGACCCTATAGGGTACTAAGAATTGAATCCAGGTCAGCCACATGCAAGGCCAGCGTCCTCCCACTCCCAACCCCTCCACCTGACCAGCCCTTGCTCCCTTCCAGCCATGTTGCAGGATACTTTTAAAGGCAGTGAAGCAGATGGACGGACACACACACCCACACATGCACACGAGCACTCACACACGTTCTCCCTGCCCTCCCCCACCCCCATGTCAGGATTCCCCAGCCAAGGTGCAGAGTCCTGCCATTTCAATGCAGCTCTGTAGGTCAGTGGTATGGAAACGCCCTGAAATCCTTCCTCTTCGCCAGGAGAGAACCCAAAGGCAATAAAGCCCACCCTCCCAAGCCCCCAACTCAGGACTTTCCTACAGCTATGCAGCTGCCTGCCTAGCCTCACTATCTAGTTCCAGAACATTCCAGCAGGACTCAAAGCCCGCTGCCCATTAGCAGTCGCTCCTGCCCACTCCCAACCCCGCCACCTGACCAGCCCTTGCTCCCTTCCACATCCTGGGCCCCTGCGGGATGTTTTCAGGTAGTGGGATCACCCAGCGCAGAGTGTCCAGGGGCGCCTCCCCAGCACGCCGTTTCCGAAGCCGGCCATGTCTCGGCATGCTCAGAGCCCCACTCGGCTCTGGAACGGAGGCACGTTCCAGCTGTCTGCTCACCGCTCACCCTTCAGGGATGCGCCGGGAGGCTGCTCCCACCCACACGCTGTTCCGTGCAGCACAGCTGGGCGTGTGCACGCAGGTCTCAGATGAGCTGGGTTTGCAGTTCTCTCCGGCAGACACCCAGCTGGAACTGCGGGATCCTGAGCCTACTTTGGTTTTCAGCTGTGGTTCCATTTCATATTACTTTGCTGTTTTTGTTTTTCCCGTGTTTGAGTTTTTTGGGTTTTTTTTTTTTTTTTTGGCTAGCTCTTGTTTTTTCCTGTGCTCAGAGATCATTCCTGATGGTGGTCGGGAGATCATATATGGTGCTGGGGATGGAACCTGCGTCAGCCACATGCCAGACAAGCACCCTTCCTGCTGTACTATCTTTCCAGCCCCTTTGGTTGCTTTTCAGGCAGTTTTAAGGAATTAGAAAAAAATTTTCACCCAAGAACTCTGGGACAAAAAGCCATTAAGGGGAGGAGCAGAGGTTTTGGAGGTGGTCATCCTGTTTAGGGCAGAAAGGACTTGAGAACAGAAGACAGAGCTGGAGGTTTTGGCTGGGCATCTTCCCAGATCTGCACAATTCCCTCTGTTACTGCATAGCAGGGTGCCTGGCATGCAGTAGGTGCTCAGTAAAGACGGTGGTATTACACCGAGTTCTCTTAACCAAGCAGGAGATTAGAATCTGTGTGTAGGGTTGTGGGAGTAGAATTAAAGTTATCAAGGTCCCAAAGGTGTGTCAATCATAAACACAGAGCTACTGGCCAGACAGACAGTACAGCACTGGTCACAGTGCCTCACAGGTGGCTGATCCGGTTTGATTCCCAGAACCACATACAGTCCCCTGAGCACTGACAGGAATGAGTTCTGAGCACAGAGTCAAGGGTAAGGCCCCCGAACACAGCGCCTCGTGGCCCCCAAACTAAAAGCAAAGCAACCCGGAATGAGTTCATTTTATCATTGGACGAAAACCTATCCTGGTAGCCTGCCCATGTGCCCTTTTCCAACTCGTGCTGAAATGAACGTTACTGTTCCTTAAACACTGCACCTGTTAGGGCAACACCAATCCGTGGCTGCATCTGTGCTCAGAATGCGACACTCTGATGTCAGCAGTGCCGTCACTTTCAGACGCTCTGACGCCAGCAGTTCCAGCCCTCGGATGCTCTGATGCTAGCAGTGCCTGCAACCTTAGATGCTCTGACGTCAGCAGTGTCGGCAACCTTGGATACTCTGACGCTAGCAGTGCTGGCAACCTAGGTCGCTCTGATGTCAGCAATGCCATCAATGTCAGACGCTCTGGTGCCAGCAGTGCCAGCAACCTTGGATACTCTGACATCAGCAGGGCCATCAATGTCAGATGCTCTGGCCCCAGCAGGGCCGGCAACCTCCAACGCTCTAACGTCAGCAGAGCCAGCACGCTCAGCCGCTCTGACGTCAACAGTGCCGGCACTCTCGAATGCTCTGACGTCACCCAAGGCACTCTTGTCCTTCCCGGGCTGCCTCTGACGTCTTACTCAGTGGCCGTATTCCCCCCGAGGGCCCCCAGCGCCCTCCGTCCAGGTCCAGGATGTCACCTCGCGTGCCCAATTGCCCTGTGACGGGTTGGGGAGCGGGGGGGGGTGAGTGGGGGAGAGGTCCGGGCAGGGTCCTTGCTGGGGAGGGGGCGCCGGGGAATTGGCCCTGCCCCAACACCCGCCCGTCGCCCCCCGCAGGACCCGCGCTCCGCCCTGGCCGAGGTGCACCGGCAGCGGCGCGACCTGCTGCGCGGGGCCTGCAGCCGCCACACGCGCCGCCAGCGCCTGCTGCAGCCGTCCGACCTGCGACACGTGCTGGTGGACGACGCGCACGGCCTGCTGTACTGCTACGTGCCCAAGGTGGCCTGCACCAACTGGAAGCGCGTGCTGCTGGCGCTGCGCGGCGGCGCCCCGGGCCGCGACCCGCGCTCCATCCCCGCGCACGAGGCGCACGCGCCGGGCCGCCTGCCCTCGCTGGCCGACTTCGGGCCGGCCGAGATCAACCGGCGCCTGCGGACCTACCTGGCCTTCCTGTTCGTGCGCGAGCCCTTCGAGCGCCTGGCGTCGGCCTACCGCAACAAGCTGGCGCGGCCCTACAGCGCGGACTTCCAGCGGCGCTACGGCACGCGCATCGTGCAGCGCCTGCGGCCGCGCGCGCGCCCCGACGCCCGGGCCCGCGGCCACGACGTGCGCTTCGCCGAGTTCCTGGCCTACCTGCTGGACCCGCGCACGCGCCGCGACGAGCCCTTCAACGAGCACTGGGAGCGCGCGCACGCGCTCTGCCACCCGTGCCGCCTGCGCTACGACGTGGTGGGCAAGTTCGAGACGCTGGCCGAGGACGCCGCCTTCGTGCTGGGCCTGGCCGGCGCGCCCGCGCTGCGCTTCCCGGCCCCGCCGCGCCCCAAGGCGGCCGCCGCGGCGCGCGAACTGGCCGCGCGCCTCTTCCAGGACATCAGCCCCTTCTACCAGCGGCGCCTCTTCGACCTCTACCGCATGGACTTCGTGCTCTTCAACTACTCGGCGCCCTCCTACCTGCGGCTGCACTAGCGCTGGCGGGGCACTCCCCCAGCGGGCCTCGGTGGCCGCCGCAGAGCCGCTGAGATGCGCCCCAGCCTGGGCTGGGCACCAAGGAGGTGCAGCTGCTCCGCCAAGGCCCCCGGAGGAGGGAGTCAGCGCTGCCCGCGGGAAGCGCCGCATCGCCCTCTACCTGGTTCCCCCCGCGAGCCTCACCTTTGGGTGCATACACCTCCCGAGGCTGCGCACCTGTGTGCCTGGCGCCGGGCCGGCCTCACACTTGACTCTTGGGTCTCTAATTCCCCCTGCCGCAGGCCCCCGGATGGGGAGAAATGGATGATCAGTATTTATGGCTTTTTTTTTTTTTTTTTGCTTTTTGGGTCTCACCCAGCGATGCACAGAGGTTACTCCTGGATCATGCACTCAGGAATTACACCTGGCGGTGCTCGGGGGACCATATGGGATGCTGGGAAACGAACCAGGTCGGCCGCGTGCAAGGCAAAAGCCCTATCCATTGTGCTATTGCTCCAGCCTCTTTATTTTTTGTTTTCAGATCGGGTCCACTTACTGGTCCACACTGCCCTGGAGCCTGCTGATGGGAGCAGCGACCTGTGGTCCTCAGCAGTGCCCACCCCAAGTCTCCCGCCAGATCCAGCTGTTCTTTCTGGCTCCTTCCTGGCTGCCCGGTCCCCATTCTACCCTGGGTCTCAGCCTGGCCAGATGCCCTGTGTATGCACCCACGGGACCCAGGGTACTCCCCGGGATGGGCTCTCTCTCTCTCTCTCTCTCTCTCTCTCTCTCTCTCTCCCCCCCCCCCACCCCCTTGTGTGTGCATGCGGGTGCAGCCGCCCGGCCCAGGTATGCAGGTTTCTGGCACAGCCCGTTTTTTAATAAATGTGTTTTGTTACTTTCTGACACTGGGTGTTTCTCCTTTTCCTTTCCCGTCTGCTCTGAGATCTGGGGCTGTCAGACTGTGGGCACCTCACAGCCTCAGTTTCCCCCACTGTGATATGAAAAGAGCCTGACTGCCTCACAGCCCCTCGCAGTTGAGAGGGGCTCTCTGGGGAGCAGGGGAGGAGGGGTGCACACTCTTCGGGCAGGGAGGTGCTGAATTCTGCCTGCAGGGGCCTGGTGACACCCCTGGGGGAAGAGAGCAGCTTTCACTCAGCTGGGGTTTAGGCCAAAAGTAGCTCAGCAGAGCCTGCCCTCGGGCTGCCTGACTCATGTACATATGTGCATGCATGTGAATGTCCGCATGCCTGTGAGAAAGGCCACTATGTGAGCCTGCATGCATGCATGCATCTGTCCATATTCGTGTATGCGTGTGTGCGCGTGACCTTGGCACCTTGACAATCACCGTCCAATTGACAATTACTTGACAATTACTTCGGGAACTGGTCAGCCACAGGAGACCCTTGGGAGGCACTGTCCCCCTGGTGACTGGTTCGATACAATGCATAGTGGCCTTTATTTCTTCAGATGATTAATTAAAATGCCAGAACTGGGTATCCTCGGGGTGTTTTGGAGAGGCCAGTCAACACAGAAATCCGAGCACAACCAAGAAAGGCAGCCTAATTGTGGGGAGGCCAAAGCCTGTATTTGTGTGTGTGTGTGTGTGTGTGTGTGTGTGTGTGTGTGTGTGTGTGTTGGGGTCACAGCTGTGCTCCTGTTCCCTCCTCCCGTGAGGCCCCCCTTAGTCAGGCCAGTGCCAGGATCCTCTCAGAGTCCACTGGGCCCTTCAGGCCCGTGCCTCCTGGCCACCCCAGTGCTATGACCTGCCAGCATGGGTTGGAGCGGCAGTTCTGGTCAGCCTGGAAGGGACTGCCACTGTCCCATGGCTAGGACTGGGAGGGACCCCGGCAGGCTGAGGCGGGCGTGGTCCCGCATAGCCCCGGAAGCAGCCTTTCATACTGACTCCCACCCAATTTTCCAAAGCCACCTTTTGCCCAGTGGTGTCCCAAGTCACAGCCTCCTCAGAACGTGTCACCCCAGGCCTTCGTTCCAGCTCGCCAGCAGTGCTGTCTCCAGCGTGGCCTGGTGGTTGATGGCTCACACCCTCCCTGGGCACATGCCAACAGGAAGTGGTCCTGGCGGGTGCCAGGGAGCCTCTGTGCTCAGAGGTCCACTGACTCCCTATCAGCAGGTCCTGGCTGGGCCAGCGGGTGACTTGAGAAAGGCACCCCTCAGACACAGAGTTGGCAGGACCAGTGGGTGGCCCCATCCCCCACACCAGCCCCTGTGCTTGACTTAAAATTAGGATTGAAGGCACAAACCAACGGTGACAAGGTCTTTGAACCACCCTGCAAGTGCCTGGTCTTCCTTCCCCTCACTAAGGGTGCAATCAGCACATTCCCACTGGGAAGTGACTTGAGGGGAGTTCATAAACCAGTCACACAGACTTGTTTTATTAAAAATGAGTTTTCAGGGCCCGGGACAGCTCAATCACAAAAGTACTTGCCCTGTAAGCCTGAGACCCATGGCGTCCTGCCCCCTCACCCCGTCCCCATGCACTGAGGGAAATCCCAGCCGCTCCCATGCAGATGGTACAACAAAGCATGTGATCTCCGCCACACTGCAGCCGTGTGTGTGTGTGTGTGTGTGTGTGTGTGTGTGTGTATGCGCGTGCGCACTCCACCACCAACAGGCATGCCACCAGCCTGTGTGTGTGTGAGACACCAAAGGGGAAAACACACATTAAAATAAATGAATACAAATAACATCTCTTTTGCTTTTTCTGGCTTTCCCTGTCGGGATCTGCTTCCCAGATTTGGGGGAGCTATGCAGTTGCTGTGTTTGTTATTCAGATTTATTCATTTTGTGGCTTTTTCAGCCTGTGACCTCTGGGGAGGCATCCATCTGCCTTGCAAACTTCTGCTCCAAGCCCCAACCCTTTGTAACAGCAGAATCTCGGGCCTTACTCCCCTGTAACACTCACTCGGGTGACCAGAGTCTAGGTGGCCAGGCTTGGAGGTGGCCGGGCCCAGGGGCTGCCGAGACTGTTGCATCAGCAAAACCCTGTGAGAGACGTGGGAAACTGGGTCTCGAGGGGCTGCGACAAAGGCTTGACTGCAGTGATTTAGCCCAGGGGGGGGTCTCTCTTCCAGAGGAAGTGGGGAGGGCCTCCCTCAAGTCTGTTGGGAGCTGGGGGTCAGACTGAAGCTTCTGCTTCTGGGACACAATATGGAGTATCCAAGGGCTCTCTAGACTCAGCACCGGCTAACACAGAGGACCAGTGTTTGCTGATTTCCTCACCCACCCCCACTTCTCTTTGGGGAATCCCTTGAATCTCCCAAATAAATGCTTTGCAGGCATGCCCCTATCTCCAGATCAGGGGTCCTGGCTGCAGTGGGCAGGGAATCACCCACAATTCGAGTACCCCCTTTCTGCTGGCATGGTCCTTGCTGACTGAATCACCCCACCCCTCTCCCCTCGGGGAGGTCCCATTAATGTCCCCGATTTTATGTGCCATCCCAAGGACTCTGAGTGACTTTCTAGCTTCTCTCTTCATGGAATGGGGAGGGGATACAGCTTCAGCAGGTCCCCCCAGCCCCAACCTACATCGTTCACATCACTCAGCAGGACTGTGTTCATGCTGGGCTGGTACAGGCCACCTGCGAACTCTTGGTGGAAGCTGCAGTTCTTTGTTCAGGCAGAATCTTCCTCTCAACGCCTTGAGTGTTTCAGGCTACCCCATTTCACGGGGGTCTAACCAGAGGGGGGCGTCTGTTAGCTCCCTTGCCGCTTCCTACAGCGCCCGAATGAACAGCCCTTGTCCAAATGCTTCATCTTAGCATCTTAGGGGTGAGTCTGCCTTGGGGAGACGAGCCTCATCTGTTTTTGCAACCTCATCCCTGACACCAGAGGATGGAGCAGCATCCCCGGAGCAGACAGGGAAACGGCCCAGGGTTGTGGCCCAGTGAGTAGGGTTTGAATGCAGAGTTTACTGGTGGGCTTCAGAGGAGGGAAGGCTGGCCCACTGACCACGGCTCACCTCGGTCCAGAAGGGAAAACCCTATGGTGGTCCCAGAGGCGCCGTGGGACTCCCCACGGCACAGAGCTGGTTCTCACTGAGGTTTCAGGGTGCAGGGCTCTCGGGGGAGGGGGGCTGCCATCAGCACTTGGCCACAGGTCCGGAGAAGCGGCGGCTCAGGAGCTGGAGTTCCCAAAGGTAGCTCAGCGGTGACCGCGTGCGTGCTGGACAGAGGCTGGATGGTGATACTAACACTGGGGCCCCTGTCCTAGAGAAATCAGAGGCCCCTGCTGCCTGGCTTGTCCAGGAAAGCCCACCAGCAGCCCCCACCCCGGGATATTCTGCTCCCAGCCCTGCCCTGCAGGGCTGCAGTCACATAGCTCCAGGACCCCCACCAACACCTTCACAGACAGGACAGGACTTAGCAGAGACCACGCCCTCCTGAGACCCCCGCACCCGGAGACCCCGCCCCTGGCACCACGCCTTCACCCCAACACTCCGCCCCCTCACTGCCACCCCACACGATGCCACACCCCCTGAGACGCTGCCCCTCCCTATACCACGCCCACAAGATGCCTCACCCAGATCCCGCCCACCTGGTGCTACGCTCACAAGATGCCCCGCCCACCCATCACCTCACCATTCCTGATGCCACGCCCACAAGATGCCCCACCCAGACCCCGGCCCACCTGGTGCTACACCCACAAGATGCCCCGCCCACCTGAGACACCCTCACCCCCACCTGGCCAACCTGCCTGGCCGCCACATCTCCCCCCCCCCCCTGGACTTTGATCAGTTAAACTCAGGAGGTCTGGGCACACAGCCCTCCTGCTTCCCTGGCTTCAGTGGCTCCCCACCTCCCCTGAGAGGGCCAGTTCTGAGAGGGTGCTGTCAACTTTCTTCCCCAGGGCCTTTGCTCATGCTCCTCAACCTTACCTCTCCCGCGGCCCCTCTCGCGTCCACCCTCCACTTTCTCTGCTCTGCTGCCCTGGCCTTTCTCTGCCCTGGCTGCACTTCCCGCTCGCAGCCCAAGTGTCCAAGCTCTCAGGTGGGAGGAAAGAACAGGGACCCCTGGCCAGCGACTCTTCCCAGATTCTGAGCCGGTTTCTGCTGGCCAAAGGGTCCACGGCGGGGTTCAGGTTGTACGAGCGGCCCCCGGATGAAGAATCCGGTTCCGTGCCCTGCCCGCCCGACCCCACGCAGGACCCCAGCTTAAAACATCCTCCTGCGCAAGCTGCAGCTGATCCCCGACTCCCAACCCAGCATCTGAGCACCCCCTGCTTCCTGCTCTCGTCTCGGAAATCTAGACACGGGAGCGACTGGGACCAGGCAAAGCCTGCGCTAGTGTGGCCTGGTGTGTGTGCGAGTCCGTGTGTGTGCTAGTCTGTGTATTTATGTATGTGCATGTGTGTGTATGCCTGTGTGTGCGTGCATGTGTGTGCATAGGTCTGTGCATGCGTGTGTGTGTACCTGTGCCTATGGGGGATGCGCATGCAACTGTGTGTATGTGTGTGTGTGTGTGTGTGTGAGTGCCCATGTGTGTGCATGTGTGTGAGGGCCCACGTGTGCACATGGGTATGCACGCTCACCCTCTCCTCTGGGTCAGGGCCTTCGTGTCTCTGTGACCCGTGAGGGCTGCATGCTGTGTGGGCCCTGCAGTCAGAGCTGACCCTGACCTGCGCCCCCAGGACCCGAGCAGCGTAGTACTGAAGCTGCATTACTAGAGGGGCTGGGGGTGGTCACTGTGTGGGTGGGCAGGGGTATTAGAGGTTGGGGGGGGCTCTACCAGCTCCTCCCTCCAGTTCCTTCAAGAATCGGGGCTCTGGGATAGTACAGGGGTCAAGACTTGCTCGGCATGCACCCAAGCCAACCATGTCGCGGGGTCCCCTGATCCCTGACAGGAGTGATTTCCTGAACACTGGGTCAGGAGTAAGCCCC